CATCGTGAGATTTTCACTAAACAGTTATGCAAAAACGCAACACGTGTTTCGCCATACAATGGCTTCTTCTTCTTTACTGTACTGCTGCACAAAGAAAAAAACTTTAGAAGCACGATTAATATTTCAACAGAAGCAGTCACAAAGCTCACAGATCACTTGTGTGTTTAAATTGTCACTCTAAGGTAATGACAGCTACTCACAAGTAAACTAGAACAATTACAACAATTGCCGTAGCTGTTTACTTCTACAAAACAGTTCAGTTGGTCTAAGCTTCAAAATAATATATATTTATGATATCAGTGTTGAAGGAAAGGTTTTATTTTGTGAGTGAAAAAGTTGCAAAACAAGCGTAGCGAGTTTACCAATTCCACGAACAAAATAAAACTTACTTTCAACACAAATATCATACAATTTTTTTTTTGTACAACTGTCCTGTTTTCATAATGAAATAGATAAATTAAATATTTCTATAAAAACACGTTTTGACATCTCTTATCGGTTAACTATTTTATTACACGCTTTATATTAGCTTCACCTGTATGTATGTATGTTTGTTTGTTTGTAACTCTCAAGCTCGGGATCTCTATTTGACAAAATTACCGACATTATTGCTTGATTTATTCGCGGGCAGATGGCGATGTAAGTAACCTCCTTGATATATCGACATTATTGCTTGATCTATTCGCGGGCAGATGGCATTGAACGTAACCTCCTTGATATAATTCGAACTCACTTTACATGTATTTCTTCATTTGAAAAAAGTATTTTTATTATCAACACGCGCGCCTGCTGCCTTATTTGTAACTCTCCTTTGTACGCCTGCTACCTTAGGCTTGGTAGCTGGTTTTCAGGCTCCCTCTCCGGAATCGGAAAATATCAATGGTCATTTTTCTAAACAATATATACGGCTGATTGATCCCAAAGCTTGGATAAAATAAATATAGTTTAAAAAACTGAAAACGCTTTTAAAGAACATCGAACTAAAAAGTTATAAATATATTTTTTTTAAATAAGCTTAAAATAATAACGAACGAAAAATACAAGTATTATTGTAAAAGAGCGTGGGTGCTTTGTGCCATATTTTTTGTATATCAAGCGCTTGTCGCTTTTTTTACTATAATACTAGTATTGTTTTCGTTATTGTTTCAAACTTATTTAAAAAAAATATTTTTAACTTTTCAGTTCTATGTTCTTTGAAAGCGCGTTTCCTGGTTTTTCAAACTATATTTATTCGCATTTGCTGTGAAGTGGCCGTGTCAGGTGACGCCTAATCACCTGGTTGCCAACAAACAGTATTGTTTACAGCCCACGCGTTTTATTTAAAGTCACATTTAAAGTTCTCGCAGGTGTTTAATGTCTTGCGTAATAAAGAACAATATTGAGGAATTGTGTGTTCCTGACGATATTGAAGACGCTGCAAAAAGAGCTTCAATTGAATTGTTACCAAAAAAATCGGCTCAGCAGTACGATATCGCATATTCTAATTTTCTTAGCTGGTGTAGACTTAAAAATGTTGAAGGAAATTTCAGCGAAACCGTCTTCTTAGCCTATCTAGAAGAGAAATAAAACTATGGAACTCGTCAACTTCGTGGAGCAAGTTTTCAAGTCCAGTGCGCTCATTAAAAATGGTGTTAATACAAGGAAATATTTCAAGGTAATATCATTCTTAAAGCGGAAAAATGAAAGATATAGGGCCAAAAATTAAAAACTCTTACATTTGAACATGTCCAGAGGTAAATAAATGAGGCGCTAGATGAAAAATATTTGATGGTAAAAGTTGCTACTATTTTCGGAATATATGAAGCCTGCCGGCATGAAGAGCTGTGCTATTTATTAATAGAAGACATTGAATTAATGGATAAATCATTGATTGTTCAAATTCCAAATACAAAAACGAAAATAGGTCGTTATTTTTGCATTGTTGGAAAAAATATTGATAAATATATTGCATTACGCCCTTCTGAAATACCTAAATTATAAATGCAGTGCCAACCCAGTTGGTATAAACACGTTTCGAAAAAAGCCCTCTACCATTGATGAGTTTTTGAACCTCCCGGAACCAAAGGAACCAAAGAAAGGAGCAAATATAACGGATATTGAGAAGCACGGAGGATGAAAGTCTACAACAGTAGCTGACGGTTACATCGACCAATCTATTTCTTATTGAAAGGCAGAATGAATAATCCTAACAACTAGGGGTCCAGCGTTGCAGCATCGTCTTTTCCCTTCAAGAATTAAATGTTTATGCCCATGAAATTGTCAACTTAGTTAAAATATATCACAAGGCTCTTCAACATCGCAAGGTAATAATATCAGCACTTGTTTTAATTGTACTTTTCAGATTATTGTTCATAAACGATAATAATAATAATGTAATTAATGTATAAAATACATTTGTAACAGAATTTAATTTTATCTGTATCTATTGTTCATAATAAAATTTCTTAGAAAATTGAATAATTATGTTTTGTTTATTGCTATTTTTTCGAAAGAAGTAGCGTTTTGTGATATCTTGTATTATATACCTTTCAATTCTCTATCCAATACTTTTTGAAAATCGAACCAGCCATTACTAAGCAATTAGCATATTTAAGCTGCTTGTTGAAAAATTGGTGTGAATTTTCATTTTCCTCAACAAATTTTCATTTACTCATCTATTTCTATATTGTCTCCTTGTGCCAGCGATTTTTTCATTCCTTCAAACAGTTCTGACATGCTCTATTTGGTATGTCTTCGAGCTCTCTCAGCTATTCGGTTTTTATCTCCTCAATCGTCGCAAAACGCCGCTCTCTTCAATCTTGGAAACAGGAAAAAGTCGCAGGAGGTCAAATCTGGTGAATATGGTTGCCGAGGCATGATTGAGGTGTTGTTTTAGGCCCAAAAATTAAGAACAAGCGATGACGAGTGGGCAGGTATATTAGCGTGATGCAAAAGCCATCAATCGTTTTTTCAAAATACCAGTCGTTTTCTTCGTATTTTCTCGCAAGCGGCGCATATCTCTGAGATAATACCCCTTATTGACCGTACCACCATGTGGCAAGAACTCCTGATGCACTGCGCCACCGTAATCGAAAAAAACAGAGAGCGAAACCTTGACATTTGATCGAACTTGGCATACACTTTTGGGACTTGGCTCTTCTGATGTACTCTTCCATTGAGTCGTTCGGACTTTGGTTTCGATGTCATATCCATATACCCATGATTCATCACCAGTTATGACCTTTTTAAGCAAATATGGATCGCCGTTGACGTCACATTCAACAATTTCTGAGCGATGCTCATGCGACGGTTTTTTGGTCAAAATGCAGAAATTTTGGAATGCTATCACATGCTCCATGTCCTAAATTTCCGAAAAAATTGCAAGTCATGAGTTAGATCGACATTCTTCTCTATATGTCCGCATTTTGTCAAGAATTCTATCCCAAGTAGTCGAATAGGCTGACGTTCCATCAATATTTTTCTATTAATTTCCACTTTTCTCCGTGGAAATCAAAATTTATTAGTTTCTTTTCGGAAAGACTGCATTATACCCTCACAGTCAATATCTCGGATGACAGTTTTATGAATTTACCTTAGAGTAGCAACTAGTTTCCCTTTGATGTGGAAATTAATTATGCATCTGCGTGAAATTGCCAAATCAGCATCATCCATCACAATTTTGTAATTTTTGACACATCTCTTTTCATTTGGAGGTGATAATGTTTCTTCTCATCTATTTCTATTTTTCCATACCTGATTTGAATTCTCTGTATCTGTAGAGTGGGGAGGGTGAGTGTAGACCTACAGCCCTTTGGCCACATGTGACCCATTGTACATCCTCCCAAGGAGTTATCCTCCTAGATCGTCGTCCATCATGTCCTTTCCAGGAAGGAGAACAGATATCTCCTTTATATTGGCAGGTGTAGGCCAAGACTCGCCGAACACACACTATCTTTGGCAATCTTGAGGTGTCTCACGGTGGTCTCCGCAAAGGTTTTGGAAGGTGCAACGACATTACTGTCGTTACGCGGCTTCTTCAACCTTCCTGGGATTCCCCTAATGGAAGTGTTCAAGTAAGGACTCTTTCCTGCAGGGGCAGCCGGTTCCTTGCCTTTATTCAAGGCGGAGATCTTGGTGCCTGCCGCAGGAAGTGCCCTTGCTGTTGGAGGTGGAGTGGGGGAGGAGGAGGGTGCACTTATAGTTGCTGCCACTCCTACCTCTTTCGCTCTCTTTCTCCTTTTGGCCCCAGCGCCGCAAATGCGCCGCCTTTGCATTACATCACGAGGTGATCTGCTATGCCCAGCGGTAGAGCGGTAGATTAGGGTGGACATTTCTGTTCATCCCCAGCCACCGCCTTAGATTGAGGTGGGTACTTCTGTCCAGCCTCGGGATTGGTTTATGTTGTGTCTGTTTGTTTGTTTGTTTCATATATGTGTGTTCCCACGAGTAGCAAGGGAAGAGTTGGTCACCTCTGACAGAGCCCCACATTACCAGAGGAAGGCTGATTAAAATGAGGTTTCGCCCGGTTCCCCAAGGGGATCGTTCGTGATTGCATATCACCCAGCGGCCATTCAGCTGTCTGCACGTTCTTTACACCTCAGCTTGGGTAGGCTGGTCCACGGTGGCATTTCTGCCACTGACCAGGATTCCAGCAACCCCGTTCGTAAGGCCACATTGGCTTCCCGAACAGGGCCTCTAGTCCCCTGGCCGTTCCCCTATCCGCCACCTGGGGACGCGTCCGATAGGTTGCCCAACCCACGGGACCTAATTTGACTTTTCGTACAGTTCGCACGCAAACCCCAGTTACTCGTTTTTGAACCCCACACAGAATAATTTCTACACCTACTGTACTAACACGATATTCGATCTACTGGTCTACTGCGCATACAATATTCACAGGCACAGCTAGATTTGTCCAGCTGAAGAGAGTACACAGACAATAAGATATATTTTTTGAAAAGATACTGAGAGTACTGATTGAAATCACTGTTAAAAGTAAAAGAATTTCTGGTTTATTTCAGACAAAACCACAGCGAGGTTGAAAAGCGAAGAAGGGACAAGATGAACACCTACATAACTGAATTGTCAGAAATGGTACCGATGTGTCACGCAATGTCGAGAAAACTTGACAAATTAACAGTACTCCGTATGGCTGTGCAACATTTAAAATCCATCAGAGGGGCAGTCCCTTCGTACACCGAAGGACACTACAAGCCATCCTTTTTGTCCGACCAAGAACTGAAACATCTCATTCTCCAGGTAACTGTACAATGATTTTCACATTTTCATCTTTGATTACAGTTACCCGTTTCAAAATAGGAGATCTGTTCAAAAAATAAGGTGAATTTTTATTTTCCTAAGAAAAAAATTATTTACCTTATTCACCTTATTTTTTTAACAGACCTCGCAGATGGTGTCCTCATAGCACTCTTATCTTACTAAGAACTGTTGGAGACATATGGACAGAATAGTTCAAAGTTGACAAGATTTCTGCAGGCACGAAGAACAGTGTTTTGATAAATCCGCAACACTGAAATTATAAATCCATTTTATTCAATCATAAATCTTATTTACAAGGGTTGGTTCATCTATATTCGCCTAATTATCAGACATTACTTCAAAAAATTGTAATAAGTTGCACTCATATTATTGATAAAATAGGATCATGAGTTCCATATAGTGGAAAAATAATAGTTGATTGGAAGAAAAATTGAAGAAATTGTGGTAATTTTTTTGGGCAAACTCAAAGCCAGATCTTATCACGACTGTTTTGGAATAATAATTACTTTTGTATCTTTCGGGTGAAATATGAACATTGAGGTATATTATTTTCTTGTGTCTACCGAAAAAATAAAAGGTCCGTATATGTAGTTCTTTTGGAATATAGCAAATATACTTATAAGAAAGGTCCTAAAATGTGTGTCTACTATTATAGGTATTTCGTATATTGAATGTCACAATATCGGTTGCCAAACTGCACATATGTAAACAGAAATGAATACTCCCGACCGCTCTGGATTGAATGATTCCATACAGTCTATTTCATCTTGTGTTTGTAAATCTTTTGCTGAAAAAATCCTCACTTGTTTACTTTGTAGTAAATGTTCAAGAAGTAGCAAAAACCTATGTGAATTTCTAGAACTTCAACCAGCGTTTCCTAATATGACTAATAACCAGTCCGTGCAAAGCTTATTGTTAAATCATCTGAAAATGGAACTTTTAACAGGTGATGATCGACTGTATTGCCAAATATGCGCCAAACTAACTGACTGTTATAAGGAAACAAGTATAGCTGAGGCACCAGTCATTCTAATAATAACACTGATGATATTCAAACATACCTCAACCTCTGACGGAAGCACCAAACTCTTACAAAGGTTCGAAATAGATGAACAGTTCAATCTAGCAGACCAATATTATAATCTTCATGCAGTCATTGTTCACTGTGGTTCTGGCGTTGAATTTGGGCATTATTACTCATTGGTCAAAGACGTAACGGACTGGTTTAAGTTTCTTTAGATTTTGACGATAGTCGTGTCACTAAGTGTTCTGGCGATATCTTGAATTTACTGGAGCTTCTGGAGACACCCTACATTTCATTCTATGAAAGAGAGGACACTGGCAGATCAAGATCTTCAGATGATGTGGTGTTGCAGGTTTTTCCGGATTTTCCTGCAGCTGAAAAACCAAATGCGTCACTAGAATCAATGAAGTCGCCCCGGAGTGCCAATTAATGTTTTTTGTGATTTCATAATTTTATGAATAGTATTACTTTCTTCTTTACTATTACAATGTATATTTTTTATTGTCTTATTCAACTTGATCGGATTTCTCACTTAATTGTTTCAGGCAGCAGATGGTTTCTTATTTGTTGTAGGATGTGATCGAGGAAGAATTTTATATGTATCAGCATCTGTATCGAAGGTCCTAAATTTTTCTCAGGTGAGTAAAAATTTTACTGTGAGGACACACGTAAAACTTTTCACAAAATTAATTTTGTTGTCAAATCATAGTTAACTTTATAAATGGACCGATAGCTAGAAATAGATTTCTTGAAAATTTGTCCTTTGTGTCGAAAACATTTCTCAGATATAAATCTCCTATGTAGATTTTATTCGATACCTGTACGTATAATTTATTTTAAAAACTGAGACAAATTATGCAAATCGATGTGATCCATTCAGATGACATACATATATTTTTGGACTTTCTTATTTGTACTAGTATGTCTGTTGTCTAGTATTTCATCATTTTGAAGGAATATATTACTTACTTGTTTTCTAACATTTCTTAACTGAATGCTATTCCTCAACTCCGCGAGTTTACTAAAGTTACCCCGGAGTGGTGGTGTCACATTATGTGCGGATCGTGCTTGATTATTTAACTGATTAGTATGTTTACATTTGCCAGTACTCGAGGACCTATACGTGACCAGCAGTATCTACTGATTTAGTCCCTCTTAATTATTAATTCTCGTATTATTCGTCGAAAATCAGGAGATGAACGGCAATTTTCATGAGGTAATAGGGCATTTGTGTCAGCAGCGTAAAGAAGTAATTCACCAGGAATTGTACATATGTTGTAAATATCATTGCAAAATATTACAAAGAGAATTATCCCTAATATGGAGCTCACTCTTGAAATAAATGAAGGAACACACCATCATACCTAAAAGTTCGAAATATGTTTATCTATAGGTAATGCTTATGCTAAAATTTAGAATCATTCTTAAAATGAATTCAGGAAAGAATTAAGCTTATTTCTGGAAGGATTAGCGTATGGCTAACCCTGTCACTTTTATTATGTAAAATGTAATTTTGTATGTGCGTTCACTATCAAATTCTCTGAAAAATTACAGGGGGACTTGCTAGGGCAGAGTTTATTCGACATTTTACACCCGAAGGACGTGGCCAAAGTTAAAGAACAGCTTTCCTCCTCTGATCTCAATCCTAGAGAAAGACTGATTGACGCCAAAAGTGAGTAGACCATGATGAAGCAATTTTCGTTAATAATGATGGATATAATCTTTAAATCCTTTGGATGATGACATTGTCTCTTTTCGAATTGTGATATCAATAATTTTCTTGTAATATTGTACTAGAATATTTTATCAATGTGAGGAAAAAATATCAGAATGGTTGCAAGGAAATTCTGTTGAACATTTTCTATGAATATTCTTAAATATTTTGATTACGGACCTCATAAGAATATTCCAAAACTGTTTGTGTTATCTGAAAACTTTCAATACATTTTGATTGTCAAGTTGGCGGGAATTCAGTCAAAATTTTGAAGAAAACCAATTTCTGAATTATCGACGTTTCGAAACTTTATTGTTTCATCTTCAGGACTCTGAAGTATAAGAACAAGACATTCATATTAAAATGGAAATTTACAAAGCAGTTCTGTTAGAAACAAAATAAATTATGTTATACAACAATCGTTAAAAAATAATAAACGTTTCAAACACTTTACAAAAGAACAACGTTGATGAGTACTTACATTTAGGGCGGCTTTCCGAGCTGAAGGGTGAAGTGAATAATTACGACATAAAATATAAATACGTACACATGTTCCTGAAAGATGTTAACGCAGACACGAAGGGATTAACAATCTGAACTGTCTGTGAATCGTTCTTTATAATTCAAAAAAGGTCCATGAAAGAAATGAGAATTGTATTTGGAAAAAACAGTCGGTTAATGATTCCAAAGTTAGTTATTGTTTGATTTTTTTTCTATTAGATTGAAATATGAGGTGTGTAAGTTTTCAATATCCGACCTTTTGTTAATATTGATAACTTATTGAAAACTTACACACCTCATATTTCAATTTAATAGAAAAAATCAAACAATAACTAACTTTGGAATCATTAACCGACTGTTTTTTCCAAATACAATTCTCATTTCTTTCATTGCCTTTTTTTGAATTATAAAGAACGATTTAGAGACAGTTCAGATTGTTAATCCATTCGTGTCTGTGTCAACGTATTTCAGGAAACTGTGTACGTCTTTATATTTCATGTCGAAATTATTCACTTCACCCTTTAACTCGGAAAGCCGCCCTAAATGTACCAACGTTGTTTTTTTGTATAGTGTTTGAAACGTTTATTATTTTTAACGATTGTTATATTACATAATTTATTTTGTTTCTAACAGAACTGCTTTGTAAATTTCCATTTTAATATGTATGTCTTGTTCTTATACTTCAGAGTCCTGAAGATGAAACAATAAAGTTTCGAAACGTCGACAATTTAGAAATTGGTTTTCTTCAACATTTTGACCGAATTGACAATCAAAATCATATTCAACGGTCGCCATCCTATTCAAATATTTCAATATATTTTAATATAATATATAACATAATATATAACATAATATATAACATAATATAACATAACTGAAATATTTTCAAGTTGAATTATTTGATAAAACATATTCTACTGGGGGATGAAACTTTTGTGACAAACTCATTTCTTATACAGTAATCTATACACTGTGTCCTAGATAAGAATGAACAGCATGGGGATATCGTAAACGATAAGTCCTACGGGGTCGATTGAATTAGAGAAAAGTAGCGCATTTATGTGCCTAATAATATGCAGTTTAAAAAGTTTTAATATTCCGAGCAGTTTCGGAGATATCTAAGAGAAACCGAAATTTGAGAATTTCGTTTTTATTTTCTCCTAGCTTTATTTTCAAAGGAAATGTAAAACAAATAGCACTTTGCCATGGCCACTTTTTAAGGACTACACGATAACATAAGCAGAATTTTTTACGAAGTTTCGTCTTTTGGAAAACATCATCAAGTTTGGATTTTTATATGAGCCGAAACTGAAGAATACCCTGTGTACGACTTCATTTTTCATTGTGAATACAGCAACGTATCACATAATATGATTTCATAACCATTTCTCGCGCAAAATGAAAAGTGATTACTTAACCTGCTTTCCTTCAATTTTATATACATAATCTCTTGTCATAACAATAGTGTTGTTTGGTAGAATTTTTGACATATTACCGTTCCTACTTTAACATTTCGTTACCTACCTAATTTGTGTTGAAAATGGAAAACGGCAGCTTTTTGAATACTAAAAATTTGATATTGTGTCATGTTACATTTTGTGCCAAAGAAATTGTGTTGATGCTGAACGTGTATAGTCTAATAAGTATCCAGAGAGGCGACAACCTGATAAATCAATATTTAGACGTTTAATTCTTAATTTTAAAGAATACGGATCGTTTAAATAACCTGTGGTCTAATGAAGAAAGTCAGCGTGGTGTTACAGGCCGTTGTTGAAAATCTTGAGATATCCACTTGCACCATTGAACATAATACCGGAGTAGCCAAATCCGCCGCTCACTTCATTTTAAGAAAACATCCATATAAATTTAGGATTTGTCATGGACGCATACATGGACGATACAAAGCTAACAACCTTTTGAGTATGGTACACTAGAAAATGCCAAGACGATGGAAATTTCCCCTTCAAAATAATTTGGTCTGATGAAACTAAGATCACCAACAATGACATTTTAATAGGCGGAATGTTCATTATTAGTCACAATGAAATCCGCGTTCACACAAAGTGCCCAGACATCAACTTCGTTTTGATTTTAACAAGTGGGTTGGGATTCTCGATATGAATGTAATTAGGCATTTTATCTACCAAATCAATTTAACAAAAGAGCGGTACATACATTTGTTAGTAACTGATTTGGAAGACGCTCTAGATAATTTGCCTTTAGCGGTTACTCACGCTGCTGGTTTCAACAAGCTGGTGCTCGAGCACATAACTCTAGAATTGTTTGTGATTATTTGAACTGTCGCTTCCCAGGACAGTGGATTAGTATTCATAGTGATACATCCTGTCCTGCAAGGTCCCCCGACCTAACCCCACTAGACTTTTTCCTTTATGGATATATCAAGAATGAAGTGTACTGTCATAATTTTCAAAATGAAAAAGATTTGCTAAAATTTGTTACTGAATCCTTTAGCAATATTGTTTCGAATATGTTAACTTGAGTTTTAAATTCGTCTGTGAGACGAGCGTACTTGTGCTTAGAAAATAACGGCAGGTTATTTGAACACTTGTTATAACTTTTTGTTTATTTCCTATAATACATATTAACTCCTTGTTACATTACAATTACATTTTATAAACTAAACTTTTGATATTGCGACTCATCTTTGTATTCAAAAACGCAAACATTATTATAAATAAGACTAATCGATCTACTTTCTGTATCAAAATATGACATTTTTTCCAGCACGTATAGGTACTATCTGAAATTGAAGAAAAGCAGGTTAAGTAAGTAATCACTTTTCATTTTGCGCGTGAAATGTTTATGAAATCATATTGTGTGATACGTTGCTGTATTCACAATGAAAAATGGAGTCTCTACAGAGTATACTTCAGTTTCAGCTCATAGAAAAATACAAAGTTGATGATGTTTTCTAAAAAACGAAACGTCGCTGAAAAATTTTGCTCACGTTATCGCATAGTCCTTCAAAAGTGGACATGGCAAAGTGCTATTTGTTTTACATTTCTTTTGAAAATAAAGCTAGGAGAAAATATAAACGAAATTCTCAATTGTCGGTTTTTCCTGGATATCTCCGAAACTACCAGGAATATTGAAACTTTTTAAAGGGCATATTATTAGGCACATAAATGTGCTACTTTTCTCTAATTCAATCGACCCCGTATCACTTACCGTTTCCGATATCCTCAAGCTGTTCATTCTTATCATGGATACAGTGTATACCTATTATCATAGGTATATCTGTAGAGCGAGTGAAAAAATGTATTTTTGTTTAATTTTTCATATATCTTAATGATACAACTGCTCATTATTAACTCTCAATATTGACGAACGATCACATACTCACAGTGAAAATATAACAGAAATGTAACCTTCACTGTGTAATAGATTACAATAATATTTAATTCATATGCATTTGATTCTTTACGTAATCTCAAGAATAAATATGGAACAGTCGATAAAAAATACCATACACAAATAACAGTTAATACAGCGACTGGACTTGAAAACTAAACTAACTTTCACTCTCTCTTGTCTACTGCAATTATGAATTGCATATTCATGAAAGGACAAATATTGAAAATATGCAATTTTCATTTCATTAACAACTTATAACATCATTCAATAAGACAAATTTGCGAAATGGAATCTCGAAATGTTTCCTCTCTCCCAACAATAGGTTCTGGTAAATGCTTGCCGGAAAACAATTACTTTCCTGGCTATTACCACAATAGGCATTGAATTATATCCGACCTCACAAACGTAAGTCTTGCAGATGTGTCACGTTTGATCTAGCAGTAGCACCACGATGAAATCAATTCAGTAGATCACCCACACACTAGTTTCGTGGAAATACCTCGTGGTAATACCTCTCATCTTTGAAGGAAAGATCCAACCCAAATAGCCTGGAGCCCGATTGACTTCAACGCGGCTGAATTTCCGTCGTGGTATTAACCAGTGAAGTAGTTGTTTTTCGGCAAGACGCGATAGTCTTCAGACTGTAACATTAAATTTTTCGCTCTATTGATGACCAACTTTTTTGTTAAGCAAGTCCACTATACCAAAAGAAATGTTGACAAACCTAAATCTTTTGAAACAGCAATCTTCATTTGCTTGGATTGAAATATTCTGATTAGATATCAAAAAAAGTAGTGAGGTCCATTCTTGGAAAAAATAAAACCCTAAGAATTTGTTACTATATTATACCTATTTCAATGCAAATCCTTTTTATTCACCAGAAGATATTTTATCAACTAGGGTACTGACAACGTTATATTTGATTTATTAGCAATGTTGCCAGTAAAAACGGACGTACCTCAAGGAGCTTCTCGGTTGTGTCCTGGGGCTAGGAGGTCATTTTTCTGCAGAATGAAATGTAAATTATCTTCACAAGTCAAAGAAGAAGCTGACACAACTACGGGCTATCACAGGAGGAAAAAGCACAATTCAGGTAATAGTCATTGAGGAAGTTATAGAACATTTAATATCGTTAAAAGTTAGCATCTGAAACAGACAACATCACATTTTTATACAGGTGATACCCAATTGTACCTTGCATTCGCTGTTTGCAAGGAGAATACTGAGGATGTTGCAAGACTTGCTGGTGTCTAAGAGAAATTCAGTTCATCTATCAACTCCTCTAACTCTTGAGATTCACTTTTTTAAAGAAATATTGTCAAAAAAGATCTTGACTCGTCCTTTCTCTTCATATTCGGAATGAATCAATCCAATTATAGGAATGCGAGAAGAACTTGGGCTTCTCTCAGCATATATCTCGTAAAGTGGAAAATGCTTTTGCAATTTTGAAATTGCTCTATTCCAACAGGCATATTCTGAACAAGGCGTACAAAACTACTATCTACGACTCACTCGTTTCATCCCTGCTGAATTATTGTGATATTGTCTTTAGAGTTCGGCAGAGCCGTACTCTAACCATCTGACCAGGAAGACAACTCACCATACAAACTAATCGGCCTCGTTAAGAAGCTGGGTTTATTTAGTCGAGTGTGAATAGGTGTGAATACAATAAATCCTTGCGGGTTGCGGTGGAGGGTCAAATAGACCCACTCACTTTTGGCCTAACTTAACCTAGCCCCACTTATTTGCGGTATTAACATTTATTTTTTTCATTTTTTTCACACACTGACTTTCGTTGAATAACATTTATTATTGTTAGTCGGCTTTTCTACGGAGAAATGACGTACTCTATCACAAAATTCTTTTGACAAAGATATCTTCATACCTCTTTTCAAAAATTCAGAGGCTTTCGGAGGCTCACAACATAAATGTCTTGTTTCGACAATAACCAAATAGTGCACGTGATCTCCTTGATAAGACTGCACGTATAGAGTCGCACTAAAGAACGACAATTTTTTTAATAAAATCGGCTGGGTATAGGTAAGGTTAGGTCTAAAGTGAGTGGGTCTGTTCGACCCTCCACCGCAACCCGCAAAAATTTATTGTGATTCACACCTATTCACACTCGACCAAATAAACCCAGTTTCTTAACGAAGCCGATTAGTTCGTATAGTGAGTGGTCTTTCAGCTCTGCCGAACTTTAAGAACCTAATTCGGTCCCCAGCGGGGCAGGCACAATGTATATGATCTGCTGTATCATAATTTTCGAAACAGAGGTGACACACACTGTCTTCCAACAGTCCAAGTCTCAGCATATGATGATTCAAATCACAGAGACCTATAAGAAGGCCAGTTAGACATCGTAGTTCATCCCTACCGTAGTCCAACAACTGTTTGGAATCAAGCTTCGAAGCGCAAATAAACGCCTTGGAATGAGCCAATCCTGGAAGATTCTGCCAGAAGTCCATGAATCTTCTTGCCATCCAGGTTGTTTGGCAAAGCCTAAGGTGATGCCAATGACAGGTTCTGGCCCGATGCTTGCAGCATCCTCCTTTGCAAGGGAGTCTGCAGCTTCATTGCCTTCCAGACTAGTATGGCCAGGAATCCAGACCAGAAACAATATGTTAAGTCTTCCTATCGAGGACAGTCGTTTTTGGAAATTTGCTACCAATTTAGACGTTGCTCGGTAGGAGCCAAGTCCCACCAATGCCGCTTGACTGTCCGAGAATATTTTTATTGACTTGTGTGTGAGGTGGGGTTTATCCAATCTCTCCGCACACAATTTAATAGCGTAAATTTCCGCTTGAAATACAGTTGCATGAATTCCTAGGCAAGTAGATATCTCTGTCCTGGGTCTGCGACTGAAAACACCTGCACCAGAACCGGAAGGTGTTTTTGATCCATCTCTGAACCAACAACTATCTGCTCTTAATATTTCCCCCTTCCGGAGGATTCAGTCCTCTCAACTCGGGAATAGTACTTAATAAGGCAGTTCGTAGTTGACAGTTGGAGGCATAAAGTCAAAGGTCATTTCCAGAATGCTGTGACTTCCAGTATCAACCAACAGTATGTTGCACTCTGCATTAAATTGATTTGTGCCATTGGCAAAGTGCACAAGTCTGTATGCAGTCCATCTAGCCTCTCTCTCCAGAAAAATGTAGAGAGGAGGTAGATCTAGGAGGATCTCCATGGCCGCTGACGGTGTGGTACTTATGGCACCACTGAGAGCCAGACAAACCTGTCTCTGTAAGCCAGAGAACTTCGCTTGGGCCGTTTTTTGTAAAGCCTTCGGTCACCAGGCAATTGCACCATAAGTGATCATTGGTCTGACAATCATCACATAAATCCAATGGATTTGTTTGGGACCTAAACGCCAAGTTTTATCACAAATCCTTCTACATGTCCATAGAGACAATCTGGCTTTGTGTAAAACTTTTTTCAAGTGAGCGTTCCAGGTGAGTTTTTTATCAAGGGCAATGCCAAGATATTTCACCTCCGTTCCAAATGGAATGAACTCACCATTGAGGGAAAGTTGCGTTTGATTGTCCAATTTTCTCCTCTTGGTAAAGGGGATTAACACAGTTTTGCTGGGGTTGACAGACATCTGCTCCCTCAGGCACCAACTGTGAACAACGTCCAACATGCTTTGGATGATATTACAAGCTACCTTTCCCGACGTGGGCCTTGCCAGGATGACAAGGTCATCTGCATAAGCTTGCAGATCAATTTTCTTCTGTCGAGGGCATCTAGCAGTCTATCCATCAGGAGCTACCACAGAAAGGGAGATAGTACCCCACCTTGAGGGCAGCCCTTGGTGACCCTGAACCTAATGGCCTCGCCTTGAAGAGTTGTAGTTGCAGTTCTCTTCACTAACATGGCATAGATCCAGCCAGTTATGGTCAATTCTATACCCTTCCTATCCAGAGACAATCCTATATATTTAGGTAGTGCATTGTTAAATGCTCCTTCAATATCAAGAAATACAGCAACCGCAATCTCCTTGTTGTCAAGGGATTGGGAGAGTTTCTCAACGAGGTTATTCAATGCTAAATCTGTCTATTTGCCGATTTGATAAGCATACTGGTGGTTATTCAGAGGGGATGCATATAATGTTACCCTCCTGATGTGTCCGTCCACATATATATGATATATAGGGTATAGGAAAATTATTCAAAGTTTAACTAATGAAGAAAACAAAAACAATTTCGTGTATTCAACATTAAATGGACTACAAAAAATGGGGTCATTTTATTTCAGCAGGAAAAACGGGTAAACAGTTTTTGATTCAAAAATGGATCATAGGCCTTTCTTTAGATGGGTCTTCAACAATTGATTATTAGTTTTTAACTGATGTTTGAATTCTTATTGTCATGTGGGGATTGTGATTTTTTACTCATTTGGGTCAGATTTTACTTTTTTTTCTCTTGTAACTAGTTTCTGCAGGTGATCCTGTCATAAGGTTGTGTAGAAGAGCGTTATTTTATCGATTTCTCAACGCTTGCCACTTGCTACTGAATTTTTGAATATTTGTTATTGTTATTAAGGGGTAGCGATGAAAACGTTCATTTTATTAATTACCTTAATATTCCAGATAAAATATACAATGTCATACAATGTACGGGTTACCTGAAATCTTGGGCACCGGCCAAAATAGGGTTAGAAGAAAGTGAAGAGGGTGACGGAGAATCTTGCAACTTATCTTGCTTAGTGGCGATAGGAAGAATACTACCGCACATTTCTACAGTTGCGGCCTACTCACAGGGCAGACCTAATGTCAGACAGATTCAGTTCATATCGAGGCATGCTCTTGATGGCAAATTTTTATTCATCGACCAAAGGTGAGAGAATACAATACCTAATAATAATCGTTTCGCAGTAATCACAAATTAGTGATAATAATAAATTATCCATCGCGCTAAGAAATACTCATGGATACAGTTACGAAAACCCCGGAGATCTGTTTTTCTACCTTCTCGCTGTTGCCCCTCTACGAAACTCAACTCTCAGAAGTCGAAACTTGTGCGAGGTCTTAGCTTTTAACGTGCGATTCCTAGAATGAGTTGAAAAATAATGAAAGGCCTATTCAATTTTGCCGTACCCAAATTTTCTTTGTTTCTTCAGCAGAATGTTATTCCAGGTCAACCCTAGTCCTCGGATTCCTTCCCCAGGAGCTTCTTGGTACCAGCATGTATGAGTACTTCCACCATGACGATATCCAAGCTGTGGCAGAGTGTCACAAAGTCGCGCTTCAAAGTATTGATCCTGTTACGACTGGCGTTTACAGATTCAGGACGAAGAGCGGGGGATTCATAAAGTTGCAGAGCGAATGGAAATCTTTCAAGAATCCGTGGACCAAAGAAATTGAAAATATTATTTCCAAAAATAATCTCGTTTTGTAAGTACGCCTCGTCAATTTTTCTTGTAACTCGAAACTTCGTAGTACTTGATAATATTGACGCAATATGTATAAAATTATCGTGTCACAGTGTTAGTTGTCATACTCCTGGTAAGTGGCTTGATTGATTTCTGAGAAATAGTATATGTATATTCGATAGGTTTGAGAATAAGTTCTAATCTATTTTTCATACCCCTAAGTGACAAAGGTGCACCACGTCAAATATTTTTTTTATTATTTAGATAAACTTTTTTTTTATTTTAATGATGTCACATTAAAAAATATATATTACCCTCCATTTTCACCCTTCTATTATCTATTCTATTTTTAATAGTCATTTCAGTTATAGATCCGTTATTTCCGCCAGGCTTCTACCGGTGTCACTTCTCTCTCACACAATAAGCCTTCTCTCACTCCCTACACAGTTTTTGTCCGCTATTAGTTCATGCATCGAGCGTAGATACAGTTTGCGGTGCTACCGAAGTTGTGAATTATCCAACAGAGTTTTTTTGAACTCATTTGATTTGCCAGGCATGCCACCGAATAATTTACAACTGAAAGTTCGATCACTCAGTAATTTGAATCTATCATGGCTGTGCAACAGCACACGATTAGTCATTGAAAAATTGATGAAAAACGTTGTCGAACGTTGTTCAAATGGCAAGTTCCGAGGTGAAAATATATTAATATAACAAATTCCTACAGATGTGCCAATTCATTTTAAACGTGTGCATTTTCCAATTATATTGGCATTTGCAATGGCTTTTAGTAAGTACCAAGACCAAACAATGTCCGTTTTGGCTTCTTTATTTAGGCTTGTACTTCAAGGACAATTAAGTTCAGCAATGCATTTGTGGTTCAGCCTAGTACCACTGATGAGACTCATGGTGGGCCGAAACAGCGCTGTCTGGTGTTGAATCATAAATACGTTGTGTTTAGGCTTTGGTTTTTAGTGTGATGTGCGGTCTGGCAGAGACATACACATCGTGAGTGGGAATACATCAACGTAGAGTGGTTCAATAAAATAGTTGGTATTCCGTCGCGAACAAATCTCTAATTTTAAACTGGTCGACTGCTATCGTCGATCCCGACCAGAATGCCTTGGGAATCGAATGTTCCGATATTTATTTTCCACATCTGTATATATTCAAATGTAAATGTATTTATACCTACTTAAGAAATTATATGTTCAAGCAATGTTCACACCGTGAACCTCGAGTATATATCTACTTGTTTATTTATTATGTTTTTCCCAAGTGTTAATTAGATTACATTTGAGACTTTGACAACAAAACAGTAATGATAATAATAATAATAATAAATGGGATTTATTCATTGACACATTGTTTATATGTATAGTATTGCCGTTATTAGCTTAGGTTAGGTTAGGTCCAAAGTGAGTGGGTCTATTCGACCCTCCACCGCAACCCGCAAGGGTTATTGTGGCTCACACCTATTCACACTCGACCAAATAATCCCAGCTTCTTAACGAAACCGATTAGTTTGTATGGTGATTGGTTTCTCAGGTCAGATGGTAAGAGTACGGCTCTGCCGAACTCTAAAAACCATTTTCCAAACAAAGACGACACACACTGTCTTCCGACAGTCCGAGTCTCTGCATATGATGATTTAAATGACAGTGACCTGTAAGAAGGCCCGTTAGACATTGTAGTTCATCCCTACTGTAATCCAACAACTGTATGGTATCAAGCTTCGAAGGGTGAATAAACGCTTTGGAGTGAGCCAATCCTGGAAGATTCTGCTGGAAGTCCATACATCTTCTTGCCGTCCAGATGTTCAATCTTTGTTTGGCAAAGCCTAAAACGATGCCAATGACAGGTTCTGGCCCGATAAAGCTACTTGCAGCACCCTCCTTTGCAAGGGAGTCAGCAGCCTCATTTCCTTCCAGGCCAGTATGGCCAGGAATCCAGACCAGAGACAATCTGTTAAATCTTCCTATCGGGAAGAGTCATTTTTGGCAATTTGCTACCAATTTAGACATTGCTCGGTAGGAGCCAAGAGCTTCCGAGAATATTTTTATTGACTTGTGTATCAGGTTGGATTCTTCCAGTCCCTCTGCACACAATTTAATAGCGTTATTAATACACACTAAAATTTTCGTGTTTTTCGACATGTTTGACAATTTGATTGAATTCGGTAATCTTTTCATTTTCAGAAGTGATTTTCAAACTGTTGAGAGCAGTAGGCACGACAGGATTCGAGAAAATCTGGATTTTTTCACTCAATGTAAGACTCCTCCCATTCAACAAATGCACATAAATCCTGCAACTTTCAATGACATTTCAGCTAACGGCAAGGACATTCAACTCCTCATAAATAGTCACGTGGAAGCGAGTAAAATCGGAAAACAAATAGCCGAGGAAGTGATAGACTCTCATCGCAGGGGTGGCGATTCCTCTTCAGAGAGCAGTCCAGGACCAGACCCCGAGTCGTCCCTGTCTTTACCGATGCCAAGTGGAGAGGTAAAACTTTATTTTATTATGAAAAATGAGAAATAAAACTTACCACGTTTTTTGCCATGTAACTAACGTTATTGCAGTTTCATCCTATGAGGACATTATTCAAACGTATACAGGTAGTATTGCAAGATTTTACAAGATATTTTGTCAAAATTAGACTTATATTATGTATTTCACACATAAATTAATAGGGTAAATTTTTGCCTGAAATACGGACGCATAGGATCATAGTTCTGTTGATATCTCTGTCCTTGAGTGCAACATGTAGACACACACAAAGTATGTGTCCACTACCTAAGTTAAAAAAAATGTGAAGGCTGGAAAAAACCACCAGATCATATAGAAGTATAATTTAATCACATATAATACTTTTTCAAATTCCTTCTTCCATTAAGAACATGCAGTCATATATGATGGGCAGAAAAGTTCATAGGCTAACATAGCAACTATATTGTCTTTGGCCTGTCTTTGTCTTAAGCTTCAAAATAGGCCTCACCTTGTTGAAACTTAGCAAACCACTTCTCAACGGTTGATTTTCCTGTCGCATAGTCCGAAAAATGTTTATTAAGCCAATTCTTGGCTTAAAACAATGTTTCATTAACACACAAAATTTATTTTCATTCATTTTCTTCAAGCTAACAAAAGTTGCTTCACTCAAAATATTCTATTCCACAAATTAATAGTACGACAGCTGTGAAATTTGTACACATGTCTTTTGAAGGTTAGGGTTAACTAAAAATCACAAGGATTCAATATTAGTTACGCCATCTGTGTGTAAGGCTACGAACTGTTCAGCCCTTCTTATACAATTCAGAGTAACTTTTATAATTTCCTTTTTGTTTCAGTCACAAATTTCTACGAGTATTCAGTCAGCAGACGGTCAAACGCACAATCCTTTGCTCACAGACTTTTCTTCCCAGTCGAATTTCCACGACATAAGGAATAATGTGTCTTTATCCAGTGTTGCGACAGATCCAGGTAAATAATAATTTCAAATCTTAGGTGCGGACGTTAAGGCGTATCCACATTATGCCGCGATTTGCCGTTGGCAAAGCCAGCGATTGTAAAAACGTAAGCATACGTGTCGATATTCATTTAGTTTAGTCGCACAATGTTCACTGACAAGGTTATAATACTCGAGAATGGTAAAAATAATGGCCCAAACGACGGCTTTGGGTACGTTCAAGCCTTCAAAGTAGAGCACAATATGGAACTCGTGACTCAATTGAGCAATCACTTTTGGACGACAAAGAAGGCTCAGGATGTGGATCACAAAAACATAAATATCTGCACTGAAGACAAGCCCTATTAGCCTTAAACAGACAACGTATTACCTGTGGTCTAGTACTAGAGTGCCACCAAGATTTAGCCAAAGCCTCGGTAGATAATAACATTATCCTGAGGTGGATTAAAGGGCACGGGAGGAGTAAAGGTAATTGCATTGCCCACTCTTCAGCCAAGGAAGCGGCTGGACTAAGAATTTTAAAACTCAGTGGCACCTACGGACTGATGACTTCGACAATTGCGAAACTAGCTAAACGTCACATCCATGCTCATTCCCTAAAGAGATGGGATGAAATCAAAGGATGCAATCTTGCTAGGATCACCCTGGGCGACCCTGGGAAGCTGGCGCCGAAGAAATATTTAGCGATGACCAGGAAAAATCTACGCTTAACAGTAGGATTTCTGACTGGCCACTATCAACTAAGGAAACACCTCCACAATATGGGGCTAGTGAACACACCCCTATGCAGGTGATCTGTCCACCTTCCTGGAAAGGACAGGATGGACAATGACCTAGGAGGACAACTCCTCGGGAGGATGTACAATGGGTCACACGTGGCCTACACTCACCCTCCCTACATTTACAGACGATATGGACGAATTGAATCTTGAGTACAGATCTCGATGTGGTTTCAAAAACTATCTCAGAATAAGAAGTATTGTTTTTCAAGTCCTTCCAAGTTTGATGACCATAAATATCAAGAAGAAAGATACGTCATTCAGAAGAGCTATTTCAGTCTATGAACGCCTGGCAGTTACTTTGCGAAATCTTGCAATGGGGGATTCCTATCTTTCGTTCAAGATGTCGAAACAAATAATTTCATTGCCAGTGGTTGGAACGTCCACACTCTCCGTTCTCATTGGATACGTTTTACAAAGGTCGACGCTTGAGCGATTTTCATTGTCACACGGCTTACTTATTGGCACGTGCCAACGGTCGCGTCTACCTCATTTCGGCTTTGCCAACTGGCATAGTGTGCACGTGCCTTTGATTATTTAGAGAATTGACCACCTCTTTATTAGTTATTTGAATAAACAACAAATATTGAAAAGTAAACCAGATGATAGTGAATCATATTCCTAACTATCATATTGCTGGAAGAGTAAATAGAACTTCTGACTTAGGATAAACAGAACATCGCTTTTACACACCAGAACCATAATACTCTGTTTGATGCGCGTTTCATCAAACAAGTTAGCCTCAACAAGAGATGAGTTATTAATTCTTAAGCATAAACTTCGCTTATTTATAACTTACGTGGTTAACTTTCACTTAGTTATATATCAATCTTGAGTACAAGTCAGCAGGAAAATTCTTGTGAAATTTTCTACTGATTTTAAAGGAGTAGTCCACATATACAGAGCTATTCAAATTCGTTTCTGTACATGGGGTTCTCGTAAACGATAAGAGATAGTGTCGGTTAAATTATGGCAATGTTGCGTATTTTAATGACCTATTCAATGATGTAAAGAGATCGAATATAGCTCTTTTGGTTCTGGAGATATACAGGAAAAACAAAAAAATCCCAAATTATTTTTTTGCCTATATCTTCTTTAATCACAGACATTGAAAATGTATTTACATTTTGCTATTGGCACTTAATGTGGGCTCTCAGAATATATCCATGAATCTTTTATACAGGGTGTCATCTGACTTGGGCCACCCCCATTTTCAAATTTTCAAATACGGACCTGTATTTCATGAATTTCACTAGTTCGGACTTCCATTGTCTACTATATAAAATGATTTGAAATCCCTGAAACAAGTAAAAAAGAATAATTAAAAAAGAATAGTTGAAAATAACAATTATATTAAGCAACAATAAACCTGAAATGAAATGATAGTGAAATAACCTACAAGTAAAATTTTATGATTATCTGAAACATATCTACAACAAAAATATATTATATGTGTTTTGATGAGCAGAAAAAAATGATAGCAATAATAACATCCGAAACGAACACTATAATTATTATGAAAATTGAAATGAAGTAATTTATATACACTAAAAAATTAATTGTGCAATTAATGTTCGAATTGAAATCCTTCCATTTCGAGACAAATAATGGGACAATGAGATGGTCTGCAAGATCACCAGATGTTTCTATTTTGGACTATTTTCTATGGGGGATATTGAAAAATAGGATTTATGCTGGTAGAGAGATAGACAATATGGAAGACTCGAGATTGAGGATTATGAATGATTTCGCAACAATGCAGCAAATAAGTGTATTAAGGGCAATGAATAATATGAAAAACCGAGTTTAAAAAATGTCTTGAAATGGAAGGACTCCAATTCGAACATTTCTTGCGCCAATAATTTTTTAGGTACCTATATAAATTACTTCATTTCAATTTTCATTACAATTATAGAGTTCGTTTCGGATGTTATTATTGCTATCATTTCTTTTTCTGCTTATTAAAACACATATAATATATTTTTGATATAGATATGTTTCAAATAATCATAAAAGGTTTTCTGATTCGAAATTCATTGTAGAAAACGCTCAGAGCAATGGAAAAATATGAATAGGTACCTAAAAATGAAAAAAAAACTCTCGAAAAACTCTTCGATACATAGGGAGACGTGAAAGTTGCTATTATGTTTTTATTCAACTCAGTCAACCAATTTCCTGGGCCGTAATTCAAAAGGGAATAATTCACACAATTATAATCGAATATTACCGAAACATCCCGAAATATAAAATTGAATTTAATTTCTCAGTATGAAGTGAACGTCTACGATCCAAAAACTATAAAAAAATACAGGTCCGTATTTAAACATTCAAAGATGGGGTGGCCCAAGTCAGATGACATCCTGTATAAAAGATTCATGGATATAGTCTGGGAGCCCACATCAAGTGCCAATAGCAAAATGTGGACAGATTTGGGATTTTTTGGTTTAAAGAGCTTTATTCTATTTGTTTACATCATTGAATAGGTCTCTAAAATACACAATTTTGCCACAATATAACCGACAGTCTATCTCTTATCGTTTATGATATCCCCATGTACAGAAACGAATTTGAATAGCCCTGTATAAAAGTGAATAATGAGTTGTTTTGAATGGAACCTTCGTCGTGGTTGTTGGATAGGCTTATCTACTATGCTTGAATAATACATTATCTCGATATCTTCCAGGAATACTAGAAATGAACTGAGAGGAAGTTAACAAAAAGTATATTGCTCAGACAAAATAAAAAATTAAAGCAAGTTCACTCTAAAACGTATCCGTTTTCACAAACCTGAAAAGTCTAGTGTCACTAAATACTCTCTGAAGAATGAAAGAATATTTTTTACAATTATTGAGACCGGTGACATGTGGATGTTGAAAGGTCGGATATCCATGTTTGTTTCTTTGGAGCTGAGTATTCACTGTTTGTTACAGAGTTTGTGGAAGCTTCGCTTAAGGCGAAAAAAAACGTTGAACATATTCCAACACTGCCTTACTTTTCACAAATTGACATTGTATTTAAAATGTTCAATAAATTACCCTACTCGACTTTGACGCAATTAAAGATATATTATTATTTCAGGCGGTAATTCTGACGAAGGTATAATGGACATAATGGAGGATCCCGTCCATACCGAACCATCTGCTGCAGGCCAATCAATGGACGGTAATGACGAAGCCGCCATGGCAGTCATCATGAGTTTGCTGGAAGCAGATGCTGGTCTAGGAGGACCTGTAGATTTTTCTGGCCTACCATGGCCATTGCCTTGACCTGAATGAGCAGATATGATCTAGTCGAATTATCTGTTACCATATTGGTGTTCGATACTATATAGTGTCATAATTATTGATTAGATAAAATATCTGATTTTGAATGTCCACAAACTGAAATAACTGTAAACGGGGTCTACAAGTTTAGAGCAGATAATTATCAGGATGACGAATAGTGTATTGTGAAATCATTTCGCCACATACAAGATGGGGGTAGTCGAGATGTTCGGAAAAGCATATTCATTTTGGAATGTGTTAATGTCAATTTTAAGCAAACTTTTTCACTTCCTGTTCTAAATGTTTTCTCTATTTTTTTGGTTGGCAGAACGAAAAACATCGTCAAGATTTTTTGGTATCAAAAAATGACTTCATTGTGAAGAATTTACTCAAGAAGTTATCTGAATATTAGTGAAGTGAATAATAGTTATAAATTTTCCATGTTGTTAAATTAATTTATTACAAGTTGAGATGACTCACAATAATCCATTTTAATCCAATAAGTAACTATTATACTTGTCAATTTCGGTTAAAAACTGACCAATCTGACCTCTAAAATTTTGAATACTATAGGCGGGTGTCCAGTAATGGATAACATCTCTGAAAGATCATTGAAATTTATTTTCATATTTTTTGAAAATTGTTAATTTATTACAGTGGGCCAGCTAATTGTTTCAGGTTTCTTCATCTGGTTGTTCAAAAACAAACGTTTATGCATATTATCGCATTTTTGACTTCTCTGAAAGTGATAATACGAGCTTTGGCTATAAAATAACAGGATTTTTGCTGTGACTTCTTTTAATTTTTTCCTTTAAAACTTTCAATGTATCCCCTTCACTGAACCCCTTCCATTATACAGTGTGGTCCACTAAGTCTGCGACAAATGGGAAACTTTTTTATTATCGATTTCTCAGAAAATTTTATTCTTGACAAAAGTGCATGTTCCAAAACAATACCAGGTGTACCTGAAATGGCTTTATGACAAATACCATACAGGATAGGCCAAAAAAATATAAAATTCGTAAAGCACCTTTATTTAAAAAAATATAGAAATATGTTGAAGAGAAAAGTTGTTTAGAATTAAAAGTTATGTTCAGAATAGAAGTCATGGCCTGCTATTCGAATTTTTTTTCTTATGGAAAATTTTGAATTACCCCCGTATGATACATACTTTTACTATCTGCATTTAATATGTATTTGAAGTAGCCACAATCAAATAAGTTTGGAATATTTTTCATCAAATCAAAGTGTATTTGTAAAATTTATTTGGATTTTTATTTTTTTTAAGTGACCGTCAATTTCATGTTTGTTGCAACGATATTTAACAGAACTCTAGAATAAAACAAATACTCTTTTAAACGAGGCAAATACTTTACTCACTAAATGTTCATATGAATAAACTGTCAATAACGGTATAACATTTCTTTTATTCTGACAACAATGCCTCAACTAGAATAGATATTAAAAAACAATTCAAAATCTATCGTGGATAGCCATGAACAAAAAACACATACGCCCTAAAACAATACTGTAGTTTGATAGTGTGGCTTCTTAAAACTTGCCTTCGTATCTGAACATAACTTTTAATTCTATGCAACTTTTCTCTTCAACATATTTCTATATTTTTTGAAATAAGGGTACTTTACTCTTGAACGAACTTTATATTTTTTTGCCTATTCTGAATGCTGTTTGTCATAAAGCCATTTCAGGTACACTTGGTATAGTTATGGAACATGCACCAACTTTTTTCAAGAATAAAATTTTCTGAGAAATCGATAATAAAAAATATTCCCTTTTGTTGCACACTTAGTGGACCACACAGTATTATATACTTTTCTATTAGAATTTTCCACAGTTAAAAACAGTGCTCAAGTCATTTTCTGGAAGCACATTCATAGTCTCTATTTCCTTCACAACTTCTACTCCATCAAACCTGGTTCTTTTCAATGCTTGCTTAACTTTCATGAACATAAAATATATCATATGAAGGTAGATCTGGCGAGTGGAGTGGATGTTCCAACACAGAAATTTCATGTTAACACGTTGCTCAAATAAAACATCTGAAATTTTTTCAACGAACGTGGGGGGCGTCTCAGCAATATAGTTTTGTCTTTAAGGCTCGCACTGTTTGTCTCAAAGAATACCAGTCCCGTTATTTTCCAGCCATACATCTTAGTTGTATTTTTGCGGAAGGATGAAGCTATAAATGAAAACTCACGTGAGAACCAAGTAAATCGACATGTGGCTACAAACTGTTAATACATTCTAAAGCAAAAGTCGCCTCTACCCACCCATAAAAACCAATCCTTATGCTGACATTCGAATTACAATTGCTACATGTCGCTCTAACTGTAGAATCTGATCATAAAGAAGTGAATCCGGAAAGTAGTGAATCACAGAAAAAATCAATAGATTGAAAACACTTTTTTCCCACACCAGAAAAAAAAATCCTGAGAGGCAGGTGTGGTACTGGCTCTCAGAAATAGTATTTTTGTTTGTGTGAGAAAATTGTTTTCAATAGATAAGAATATAAAAATGAAAATATGTGAAATGTAGCCACGTGAATATTCTGCTCTGAAAATGATTTACAAGTGTTGATCAGTGTAAATTTAAATACTGTTATTTCTTTTGTAACCGATAGTTTCAATTCCAAAATTCAAAGTAGTACTCATCTCAATTTGTGAGAATTTGATTATATCAAAAATTAATATTGCGTTTTCACCTAGATGATTGATACTGGAACCAACCGGTATCATAAAATTTTGCGCAATTACTGAAAGGTTAAATACATTTGACAGTTCGCCTCGATTATACTTGTCAGAATCATGTCTATTGTTGCTTAAATATAAAGTTAAGAAGCGTTGTGATGGAATTTATGGCGACGCAACAATGCGTGTTCAATAAACACAAAACAAAATAGTTTTTATTCAAAGTTCCAAAGGTTTGATCATGATGATATAAACTAGTTACTCCTCACATGTATGAGTGTTGTTTTATTTAGAAAAAACAATAATGTTACCTCTGTTATCGTCTATAATGATGTATTACGTTGCAAAACTATATTTTATCAATGGTGCTGTGATTCATAGATTGTACAATATTTTTATGTAAATAAATGAAATACATAATACATCCTTCATTGTTTTTCTGATTGTATTAGAATCAGACTCTCCAGTTAACATAGTTATATTTGACGAAAATCTAAGGGATATTCAGTGGGCCTACAATTTACATTTGAAGAATAACTAATGGACATTCAGAATGTACTTGTACGCCATGTACGAAATTATGATAGGCCTGCGGAGACAAGGGGAGTTGTACGATCTACTTCAACATATTTTACTCAAAGATGTTCTTGAATATCTCGTGAATAGCCGCAAAGAACTACACTTGACGTATATCATAGGACTAGTGAATCCGGCTCGAAGGACCACTTATGTGTCTGAATTGGTTTCACTTTCCATCTTAGTCAAAACTTTGGTTTTGTTTGATATAAAAAAGAGGAGATAATTTTTGCACTATCAACAAATTTTTATTTATTTACATTTTACAAACTCAATTCATCTTTATACAGGTTCATACAGGAGAATTGACAACCTGTTTATTATTATAAAGTATTAAGTCGACCATTTTTTGTTGTATAAAGTGTAAGTGTTAAAGAGAGTTAATATGAAAAAATTTCGCCATATTTGTTCTGGCCTAACAAAATATTGAGCAGAGAGATAACAATGTTCATTGAAGAGAAAATGAACAAAGAGGCATCAGCATTTACAGGTGTTTCTATTTCTGATTCTTGATGATCTACATCTTGAAATTACTTGCTTAAAAACCAATTCATATATATGTCAATTATCAAAAATATCAAGTCACAACATATCAAAGAGAATGTTTCTTCTTTTTTCTCTTTGGAGTCTCTTCGGTGTCACCAATGGAGAGCTTTCGCTTTTTGGTTTTTATGCTCTCAGAAACATCAAATGAATTTTCCAAATCACCAACCAATTCCAAGTTTTCTCTCACAGAGTCTTTTCTTTTCTTGGAGTTCTTATTTTCGGAAACTTCAAGAATATTTTCTGAATCACTGACCGATTCCGAAGGCTCTAACTTAACCTTTTTAGTCCTTTTTTCCTTCTTTTTGCTGGGGCTCAAAGATACACCTTCGATAGCTTTTAATTCACTTTCTATTACATTGACTTCCATTTCACTTTCAAAACTCTTGTTCTTTTTTGATTTCTTTTTCTTTGGAGAAACTTCAAGAAAGTTTTCTGAATCACTGACTAATTTTGAAGCATCTAAACACTTTTTAGTCCTTTTTTTCTTCTTTTTGCTGGGACTCAAAGATACACCTCCAATATTTTTTAATTCACTTTCTATTACACTGATTTCCATATCACTTTCAAAACTCTTGTTCTTTTTTGATTTCTTTTTCTTTGGGGACACTTCATGGCTCTCCGACTCTCTGATTGATAATTCTTCGGAAAAAGAGTCACCACTGAAGTTGATTTTCTTATTATTTTTCTTCTGCTTACTGTTAGTAGTAGTTTCGTTGCTTATGCAACTATCAACTTCAGTTAATATGGATCTGAAACAAAATAATGTTGTAACTGAAGTACATTGATTTCAACTTGCCAAGTTTTTATGTCAGTGTTGGTGGTTTGACCAATCAACCGACAACTGCGGTAGCAGAAATTTGGGAAGCTAACCTTAAATGCCATCGGAAAACGAATCCACATGTTTCTAGAAATGATATGAAATCTAGAAAGGTTTCTAGATTTTTAGAATCCACATGTTTCTAGAAACATGTGGATTCGTTTTCCGATGGCATTTCAGGTTAACTTCCCAAGTTTCTGCTACCGCAGTTGTCGGTTGATTGGTCAAACCACCAACACTGACATAAAAACTTGGCAAGTTGACTTGGGTGTCACACCAATAGGTGGTTTCACTAATGTTTCGCTTGCGTTTACGCAGCTATTTCTATCAAGTACTTTCTTGGTTTTTCTCATTTTGTCTTCAATCGAGGACCGCCTGCTCGGTACTGACGATGCCCAATAGGCTGAAACAGCTGTCTACCGGTGGCTCTTAAATTGAAATCAATGTGGGAATTATTAGAAAAGTACTTATCTATTCATTTTTTTATTTTCATGGAATTATTTTCCAGCAGCTTGACTGCATTAACCTTTCTAGATTTTATATATATTACTTGATATATGGCATTTTTGATACAGACACCTAGAATTTTAGATTCATACCGGTATTACAGAAATGTTTTTTGGTGCAATACTGATATTGAAATCATTATTTCCGTCATGTTTATGCTCTTTGATTCATATTCTAGTTGATACTTTTCATTCCGACTCTGTCAATGGAATTTTATTTTATGAACGCAGTAGTGGGAGAACTTGAATTACTTTGTTGAAATTGTTAAAACGATCAATGTTACTATCAATGGTATTGATTATGGTTATTCTACCAATTCCGTTCAGAGACAAAACCTTATATGTAGTATGAATAAAATTGGAAAAACAAAATAATGAGAATCATCAAAGGCTTTTCCAGAAAAAAAAATTATATAGATTCTGGAAGTATATTACATTATACAAAATATGAAAAACTTTAATTGAATGTTTGACAAACAGATTGAGATTGAATCATTGACCTACCATATATACGCTATGTATCACAAATGGTGAATAAATATTATTATTATTATTATAATCGATTTCTGCATAATTCAACATACATAGGGAAGCGTAGTTATTTTAGATAGACTCTTTATTCCAAATCGTACCTGAAAGAAATACCTATAAATGATCGACAAGTATTCTTAAAGAGTTTTTAGAGATGTCTGTTTTTATCTGTTTTTTTAACGTTTTGTATTTTTCATGCTCTATTGGAGAAGTAAGATAAAACTTTCTTAAGGATACCCAAAGAAAGTGGTGTCTCCATGCTGTTATCAATTTTGAACATGATGCAATCTGTTTTTTCATCATTTAAAATCAATTTATTTTCCAGAAAAAAGTGTTTCGTCCTTTCTATTACAATACTACCATGTTTTATTATTTGTGGTAAGTTTGCACCTGTCAACAATAGGTTAGTATCATCAGCATAATTAATTATGTGAGCGGAATTTGAATTTACCACCATGTTTATGTCATTTGTAAATATAATGAAGAGTATTGGGCCCAATAAACTACATAGTTTTTTAACCTCTGATTCAATAAAAATATTATTCAAGTATTCTACCCAAAGATTGTTCAAAACTAAATTGAAAAATAAGTAATAATAATAATAAAATTTTAGAAATTCAATATTGAATGCAAGTTTCGTTCACATTTAATAAAGTACAAAAAACACACTTCAATGAGAAATTTCCACTTGAAAGTTTATGAAACCATGACTTGTGTTTTGCTATACACATTGAAGCTTGTCAGTCAGTTCTATCATACATTTAATAAGATTTGAGCAAAAATTTTAATGCTTCAAACATATATCACATTTGATATGAAATACTGATTTTCATAAAATATTTCTATGTTGAAGTGAACTTTCACGGCTAGAAATGAAATTCAAACTTTGGTTATCGGCCTCCATAGTCTACGGTTACCCAACGCGGATAACCAAAGTTCGAATAGGATTTTGTCAAATTTATATCGCCATAAGGAATCAATCTTCTTTTTTGCCAATTAGAATGTGCCTTCCACAACTGATCCCATGTTTATTATGTCCATTACATATTGATTAATTAGAATGGAAGCTTAAAAGTGAAATGACCTTTTCGTCTTCTTTCAAAAACGTTAGTACTTTGGCAACATAATTTCCATTTCCAGACTTTTCAAGATATTGCCAACAAATAGTAACAAAAATTCCAATGATGTGACAATATCATCTAGAACATGTTTCCCCAAATAGTTTTTCATTTTCTGAAAACATTCAAAATAGATGAATTAAGGTCAACAGTATATAATTGTGAATAGGATCATTTCACAAGTTTTTATTACCAGATATGAGTTTTGAAACTCTTATCTTTTGAGTGTCAGTATCTCCGAATGTAGACTGGAATGCCAAGTTTTGACTCTGGATCACTGGACAAAAATACGTCTTAGAATTTCTTTTCAAAAACTAGTGCAAGCTCATTTTGTACATTTTGTGCTATATAATTATTAAAGTACATAACAAACTGTTTAACACTTACATCAGTTCTCCTTTCAAATATGGCAGATATGAAGTAAAGCTGAAATGGACAATTTTGAATAAAACTTCATATCCAATTTGTACACTCTTTCCTAACCAGTCATCTTGATCACGTGGCGCTGGAATAGAAACATTGAAAGTGTTATACACTAACAAGCCAACGTGATCTTTGCTTTTCCTTATAACAACTCCTTTCATTTCTTCATCGATTTCTGGTTTGAAAACGAAAAAATCTGCTTCAACATCGCAGTGAGTGTAACAAGTGTCATCGTGAAACATACCTCCTCCACCCAAGAGCTTGATATTCCGATAACCCAGTAGTATACCATTCAAGCTAAAAGTAAAGAAATATGAGATTATTACTGGGAAAACTCAGGTTCCTGTGACCACTTACTCATTACTGTATTTTGCTACACCTTCATTCAATAATTCCTTTATTGATTCATTGAGATTATTAAAGTGGATAGGATGAAGTGCCAAATGATGTTTTCTTCTCTGAATTTCCACTCTAGACTTTTCAGTGTGTACCAAACTATTCAAAAATTTTGTATCAAAACTAATAGAAATTTTATATTTACCCATTATAATTATTTATTTATTGAAATCATAAAAATTTATCATGTCTACAATTAAAATAAATATAATATAATTTTAACCTTATTCGCAACGTTGGTTTAGGTTATCTTCTGATTTCTTTGTTAATATTTTCATCATTATGGCCTTTTCTCTAAGAGGAATTTGCCAGCTTTACATGTGACACTGAAACAATTCGTGATGACTATTGCCGCAAGGTGACGCTAGTATCAACTAGCGTCACCTTGCGTCACAACAATTATTCATAATTACAAATACTGTATTCATATATTATTTATGTATTGACTAGTATGGTTCTTGCAGTTGAACTGTCACTTGCAAAACAAATGAAGATATTCGCTTTACTGATCCTAAAATTATTTTTAATTCCTGACCTATTTTTGGATTTTCTAGAAAGTTATGTAATATCCGAAATGTTATTGCAGTGACTCTCCAAATATCAACTGTTATATTAAATATAGGATAGAGAAAATAATTTTTGTGTTTGTTACGACTGGTTTTGGTATATTAAACCATCATTCTCACATAAACTTGAGTTTATTTGAAAATGGTTTGCCATCATTCTCACGTAAACTTGAGTTTATTCGTTTACTGAACCGAAACTGGTCGTAACAAATAAAAATCTTAGTAGAAATTGTAGACATTTTTCCAATGTTGATAGAAATACTGTTAGTCATTTAGTTATGGAATGTTGAAAAGACTGTATCAAAGATATATAAAAATTCCTGCTAACACTGACGATGGTATAATGATTTTTCTAGATTTCCCAGAAGGCACGTTATCAAAACCTTGGTAGATTACTGATCAAACGGAAAACAACCAATGAGAAAGATTTTCCATTTCAAAATTATTCTAGTAACAGAAATAATTCAAGACGATATAAATAGCTATAATTGCAAATATTGAATAAATTTTAAATTAGTATTGGATGAAACGATAATCAGGAACAGATTTAACTTTTTTTGTGATTTTCTGACTGAGCAAGCCCCACTTGAGCAATGTAAAACGTATGTACACATATCTGGTACTTCATCTAACACCGTCAATGTTGCCTTTATCACTAATGTCACCATTTCTGTAAAAAACTGTAGAACTGTTCATATGAAAGTAACAAGAAAATAATTTGAGCAACCCCTGGTAAAATTCTCATTTGTAGGGGTTGGGAAGTAGTTAAACTTACGGAACACATTGCTGTGGGCACATCTACAGCTCATAATTTCACAGACAATACATCGTAGCACAGCACAAATGACTTATCTTTCATAGGTGTCTCGATATAAAATTTGTTGTTATGGAGGAACTTCAAATTGGTAATAAAACGACAATGTCATCGATATTTGATATTTATTTTTACAATGCCTTCATTGTGCACAAATTCCTGTTTATATTTTTATGTACATATAGGGTGGATGGTCAATGTTCGGGTATATTTTCTTCTTCGGAATGTGTATCCTCTCCAGTGACGAGTCCTTTTTGGAGCAGTGTTGTAATGCGGTTGATATCCAAATTTGCATCTCTGGCACTGATTTTTTTGAGAGCACTGTTCACGATACAAAGATCTCCTCGCAATTCCGAAACAACTGCAGTAATTTTCTGTTCATTGCTCAGGACCTCTACGCTCTGTGTGTATGGATTGTATCGTAGGCCAAAAGGACGTTTTATTTGTTCAGCAAATGTCCTGTGAAAAACAAAACGAAATTTTTCAGCGAAGGTTAAATTCTCATATTAAATTCTCCGCAATTATGGAAAAACGTCCAGAAATGTTAAATTAATATAATATATGAATATACTATAATGAAATGATCCAAACACAACCAAGGACAGTATTGAAAAATGTTTAGGTTGTCTAGTTTTTGAGTGATGGCATAATTCAATAATAGATGATCATTCAATAACAGTGATAAATGAAATGATCTTCAAGTCGTCTGCAAAAAGTAAGTTGACACACAAAAGCTCAGAGGTGAGATCATTTATGAAGATGAGGAAAAGCAGGGGTCTCAGATTGGAGCCTTGTGGCACACCATATGGTGCAGATGCAAATCCATTATTAAAAACAACATTGATTCTCTGATCCAAATAAGAGCGTGTAAGTTGAGTTAGTGAGAAATTTGAACCCATTTGAGCTGTTTTCTCTAGTAAGATGGAATGACTAATAATGTTGAAGGCCTTTGCAATATCTGTGTATATAACGTCAACTTGTCCTTTTCTGTCCATTACTTCTATCAAAAACTGCTTGATACTACAAAGATCCCATATAGTGGACTTATTGGCTAGAAAGCCATGCTGGTTTGCAGAGATCAGGGATTTGACTTGTGGCATTAGTTGGTCATACACAGATATCTCAAAGGTCTTCGTGAAGTCACACGGAATAGATATTGGTCTATAGTTCTCAATATTCTCTGGGTTTCCTGATTTGAGAATGGGGCAGATTTTTTATTGTTTCCATCGTTCAGGAAAATGAGATTTGCTTAAGGATTGTGTTGAATATTTTTAACAATGGACAAGCAAAAACCTGAGCACAGTCCCTCACTAGGACACTGGGAATAATCTCACATCCAGAAGTCATTTTATTGGGTAATTTCCTAAGTGAAAGTATTACTTCTTCCTCTGTGAAAGGTGGGTATTCTGGAAGATCCTTTTTTGCTTTGAACGAAATTCCAAAAACTTTTGGGGTCATTGCGAACGTTTGATTGAACAAAATGTTGGTAGTTTGCAGTAATATCCAGTTATCTGAAATGATTGGATATACGGCTTCGTAAATCGTGTTTATGTTGAGTCAGGTAATTTGGTGTGCTAATACCTGTTCCTGAATTAGGTAAATTCTCAATAACATTCGTCGACCCTTTTCTACTTGACTTCTTGCTGTTCGATATTCTTAAACTCCTTAGAATGTGATTCCATATTCGGTTGAGGTTCACAGCTTTTATTTCTGTTGAAATTATCTGAGTGTTTGTGGTTTCGTGTTTTCGAACATAATTCTGTGGTTTCCAAACTAATTGCCAATTTCCATATCACAAAACAGATTCAACATGGAGAAAGAATTTAATTATATTTAGTTTTTCAGTAAATTTTCAGAGTTCCTAAGCCTATCAATTTTCAAGCATTCCAAAAGATCGAGTTTCAAACAATTTCCTTTCAAATGTAATACGTCATAGTCGTGGTTAAACTTAAGCTTCTCTGCCAAAAGATGGTTTGCAAATGTAGAATTGGTCTCCGCATTCAACAAACTACAACTATGGTCTTCTTTCCTCTGGAAGAAAGTTCTTCCCTTTTGGCCAGTATATAAAGTTTTGGGCAAGAGCCAAAGAGTCAACTTATTTACTATCCGACACTGAATTTTTATCTTTGTGGTTTTTAATAAATTTGCTTGAAGCAACAGCATTTGCTGTAAGCCATATCCAAGTCTTTCTTATTAAAAAAACAAGCGATGTAATTGGTGGGTTTGCCAAAGTTGCTTATCATAGTTTGAAGGTGATTGACAATGTTTCATGATGAATTTCATTGTCTAATATTATATATAATGATTTGAAATCCTTAAAAGAAACAATACAAATGAAAAATTAAAATGATAGCTGAAAATAACAACCATATTAAGTAAAAAAACCCGAAATGAAATTACTGTGAAATAAAATACAAGTAAAAATGGAACAATTAAACAAAAATTAAAAATTAAGAGATTCCAAGCCAAGTTAGTTCACGACGTTTCTGTTGTTAGTGTCCACAATCATCTTCGGGTGATGACTGGACTAATTCCTCCGAAAGATGACTATTCATAGGTCATTTGAGTACTTTCACTCATCTCCTCTTTCCGCTTCACCGGTTTAGCGGGAGATGACCGTTTGGCGGGAGTTGGTCATTTTTCGCTTGATTATGGGTTTCCATATGTTGTGTATCTCTACGCTAGCTTGGCTAAAAACATTGTTGGACAACATGTATGTGGCTTCTTTGAATTTCCTCCTAAACCAGTGTTCCCCCCTGGGTATGATCTCAGCTTGGGACCACTCGATGTTATGTTGATGGTTCCAAACATGCTCTGCCACTCTTGTGCTCAGCAATGCGAATTTTCAATGGCCTCTTAATTTCACCAATATAGGATTTATATAGGATTTGCCGCACTCACAAGGTATCCGAATAATGCAATTATTGAAATCTCAGTCCGCGTTTGGTGGCCTGGTTTTTGTGAAGTTGCTACGGATAGTGTTTCCGGATCTGAAGCAGGATATAGTTTAGTTGGGAATTTGACTTTATATAATTCAGTGAGGAATTTGAGTTTGATTGGCTATAGGTTGATGATCGCCGCCCTATGTTTATCACTTCCATTGATAACCATCTCTATTGACTTTGGGGTTTTCTTTTAGTTAAAGGATCATTTCTCATTTCTCGGTTCCTAAAAGAAAAAAATCTAGAGTATCACCGACGTATTCTTTTTTTGTCTGTCGCAATAACAGTTCGACCTTTGTCTGCTGACATCATTATCTTTTTTTTTTAATTAAAAAAAGTTAGTGGCATTATTGCCACTATTTTTCGTGCAAAGTCTATTTACTTTGTAAAAACTATTTTCCTGGTTTTTCGACTCTGCTTTCATATCATTATTGGTGGACGTGGCTTGGCTTTTCTTAAGTGGATTACCATTAAAAACAGGTAGCCAGATTTGATTAATGTTCGTTGCCTCTTCTTTTCTATTGAAATTATCTCTGTGGTTGGATGATAATTATGGGTTTTATCTAGTATTACATCCCGGGTATTGCTAAATGTTTTCTGGGATCCTCATCTGACCTTAGACTATGCCTGATGGTTTTCGTTAGTCTGAATATTAGTTTAAGGTCGTTTTTCTCTAAGATTCTCCCAATCGAGTTTGTAACCTTTTCAACATAGGGAAAGAAAGAAAACTTTTCGCTTGACCAGCTTAGCTACTGGGTAGTATGGCCCGCTCGAATTTTTTTCCGCTGTGTCCATTCACTTTGAAGGCATTTTTTAGATGATTGAGTTCCTCAGGAAGATTCTCAGGTTCACAGATACATCGTGCTCTCTCAACTCAAATACTCATCTTCTGTTGTGGCTGGTGGTTAGAGTTTTTGTTCAGGTATCGGTCTGTGTGTCTTGGTTTCCTGTACACTTTGTTAAGATAAATGAAAAATCTAGATACTAAACCTACCCACAAAAAAAATGAGAAGGGTAATAAATTTTTGTTTGTTTCACGGCCACACTTATACGGCTTACCTCATTTTTTCTTTCGCCTCTTCGAATGAATCTGTGTACCAGTATCCCAGCTGAAAGTCTGTTATTATACATTCCTGTTGACAAGTGAGCTCAGGATCGAACCGTTTCACGGTTTCTGGGGAACTTATTGCATGTTTCAATTCTGCAACAGAGCTGAGTAAGCCAGCACCGTACACTTTAAGCTGCCCTTCTTCTTTAGCTAGACCAAATTCCACGGTGAAAAAATAAAGCTGGAATAATAACATCATCATGAGATCAAATTTGGGTAGAAATTTTTGATTTACTAGTATTCTGTTCCAACAAGGATAAAGTTGTTTTATATGATTCAATAAAAATGTCATTCGAAAACAATCCATAAAATCACACTCAATTGATGGTGAAGTGATGATGAAGTGAGAAAACTTTCACGCCCTAGATCAAAATACTATTTCACATTTATTTGAAATCTCATATAATCACATGGAGAGTTTTTGTTTTTTTTGCTCGGTATACTGAAAACATATACAAGTTAGCTATTGAAAAATTTTCAATTCCAATTACATTTCCAATGTAATTGGAAAGCTTATGAATTTGACAACCAATATTTTATTAAAGATTCTTTTGATGTTTTCGTTACATTCAATAAAATGAAATTACCAAATAATTAAATGATTGCTAGCTTAGATGTGGTATCTCTTTTCAGCAGTGTCTATTTAGATGCTTGTCTCAGATCTATTGATAGAAAATGGGGACGTATCTGTCAGTTTTGTGACATTCATAAAGACGAATTATTCCAACTTATAACTTTTCTTTTTAACAATACATATTTTTCATTTAATGGTAAAATTTATAAACAATGGAATACCTGAAATTGTAGATATCTTCAATAGTTATGACCCTTACATACAGGTCAGTTCGAAATTGAAAACAACGAACAATGGGTTCCTATCCTTGACACTAAGGTTATCAGAACACCAGGCAATACTCTACTCATAGATTGATATCGTAAGCCTATCCGTTCTGGTAGGTTCTTGAACCATTGGTAATATCACAAGCAGTCAACGAAAATTAACAAACAAATGAAGAACCGCAATCTGCATATTTCCGATTCTTTTTTTCATAAAAAAAATTTAAATATACTTTTTCAATTATTTATTAATAACTCCTACCCGGATCCTCTACTTAAGAAGATCTTATTTAGTATGTCAACCATTGACGTTCAAATCTACAATAACAACCAGTTGGATAGAACTCCTTTACAGTCTGACAACGTCACAATTGGGGCTGATCCACCTCCAGTTCCTATTTCCTATACTCTACTCTTCTTTACCATACATCAGTGATATGACACCTAAGTTATGTAGAATTTTCAAAAATTTAAATGTAAAAATAGCTTTCAGAACCATATCTACCATTAATAAATCATTTTCAAAACTTAAGGATAGAACTCCTTTCAACTTCCAATCTCAATTAATCTATTCAATTCCATGTTTAAATTGTGGTAGTGAATTTATTGGTCAAACGTCAAGACTACTAAAAGATAGAATGAGTTCACATAAACGTGATAGTAGGTTACATCCTGAGAGATGTGCTCTTAGTAATCATGTCTCCAAAGAAGGTCATAAAATGGACTATAACTCAACTAAAATCTTATCAATTGGAAGAAATTAATCTAAAATATTGTTTTTGTAATGTCATTTATATTAGAATCAAATAATTTCCTTAATAAAAGATCAGCCATTGATTATCTCAGTGAAATCTATGTCTTCCTACTAGACATTGATGAAAATTCACATGATTTTCAAACCAGAAATAATTCTGGATTTTCATTAATATAATTCATACCTAACATTTTAAATATTTTCTGAACAAATTTCAAACCTCCCTAAGGCAGGGTTTTACTTTCATTGAACAACTTTCCTTCACTTGTTTTCCTCAAAACTAATAAGGGTGTTGTCAATTGATTAACATGAAATTGGACATATTTGATATTTAGTTTTATCATTGATTTGCTTATATAACAGCAGATGTCTCTGATCACACTCGCACCATAACAGTTCTCCTTTTTTCCATAGTTTTATCATAGACAAACAAACACACCTTTTCAAACTGAATCACATGACAGCTGTCATTGTCAATTGTTTGTTGTCTCTCTCTTTGTTCTTCAAATACATGGCCACAGCTAGTGGCATGGCTGGCTGGCCATGCTGTGGCATGGCTTTTACCAGTAATCCATATTTTTAAAACAAATAATTTTAATAATTTTTAATTCAATAATCTTCTTTATATTCAGTAAGGACTAAGGAGTCAACCTCTTTCAATGTAGTGACTTGTTTTATTGTATTGACATGTTTCAATTGTTTAAATGCAACATTTTTTCGACACGGCCATCCTCACGAACAGTTAGTTGAGCCCTTTCATAATAAGTTTTATATTGTACTATCATCATACACATTTTGAATCTTTTTCTTGAAGACGATAATAAATTTTATCGAAATATTGGAATAACTTGTGAGTACACTTCCTCTATAGTGCTCACCGTTGACAGTGATGGCCTGGCCAACGTTGTTCTCAAAGAAATATGGACCGATGACGCCTTCAGCCCAAAATCCACATCAATAAGAAACTTTTTCGGAATGCATTGGACGCTCTTGTATCTCTTGTATGTATCGTATCAAATTCGACAAATTTGTCTGTTCACGTACCCATTCTTCCAGAAAAGTGATCACTTTCAATGAGTTTCATAGATGTTTCGAAAATCTTTTGAAGATATTTTGAATATATAAAATATCATTCGTATATAATATTCGAATCAAAGTATGTTTCTTGGTTTTGCATGGCTTACAATGATGATTTATTTTTCGAACATATAAAACATTAATTTTCCTGTATCTTACCGTTGCTAACTTATCAATATCCTCTTGGCATGCTCCCAAAGACGCTAGTCCTAGTTCTTGAGAAAACTGGGCAAACGTTGGATTCGCCAGTAGAGGCATATGTCCCAGTAATTCATGACAACAGTCGCTAGAAATACGTACAGTATTAGTCAATAGAAATAAATATTAAACTTACGTTTATCTTGCCAAATTCACTCCATTATGCAGGTTTGTTGATTCATCTAATATTTTCAGATCAAATTCCATAACAATTTATTGATAGATTTACTTTCAAATAAGTTCTAACACATTCTACATTGACAAACTGAATTATAATAGAAATATGATACATCTTTTGGAACTCTGACAACTGTTTCTGTAAATGGTATCATTTTAAATTTTGTATGATTTTGAGTGAAATGATACACTTATTATTGTTTTGGATACTCCGACTGAGGTGAGTTTTTCCATACATAAAACTATTTAAAAGACACTCTGAATACTTGCAGAAAAGCGACAAATTTATCCCAATGTGATTCACGTGTGATTCACGTTCTTTTCACTACGATTCGTTTACATTACTTACGGTTCAGGAGTATAGAAAGGATCAGTCGAGTGCCTTATATATTGGGTGCAATGGAAAACTCTGAAAGCCAAACCGGCAAGAAAATCCCTCGCGCTCAAGTATCCCCCTACTGGTCTGAGTTGGAAGCCGGTTTTTCTCTTCAGGAAAACATTCAAGTCTTGAAGTTGAGGAATGTTGTCTTCGCGGTACCCACAATATTTCACCAACTGTGGCCAGTTTTCCAGATATTCCTTGCAGGCGTGCTGTTGATACAGTTTTTGTAATTCGCGAAAAACAGTTCCCCTGGAACATAGGACACGTAGCATTTAGTGAATACCGCTAGATGTGGATGAGGGTTGGGTATGAAATATAAAGTGGAGAATGCCTCTTTTGACAAATAGTTCTGGAAATCGTCTAACCAAAAAATATTCTTGAATAATTCACAGAGTCATAGGAAATTTATAACTTAGCGGAGTTGAAATTCCAGAAATAGATAACGTGTGTTGTGCAAATGAAGTTATCATGGTGCTTACCTAAATAATGCACCTCCGATTCGAGAATACCCCCATCAAATATTTTCTAATTGGTGAATTGACAGACGAAGACCGCCACCAGGATCACCTGATTTGATTGTGTTCCACTATTTCCTGTGAGGTTATTCAAAAAGTGAAAATATTGAGAAGCTAAATGGAAGGAATCGTCAAAAAATCCTTTCAAATGCTCGTTCAACGAGCCTTTTTGTATAGACTAGGACATTGTTTCGTCGTTAGTATATAGCAGTTAGAAGAATCAATATAATTTATTGCCGATAATTCGAATATTCAATTTGATTAAACTATTTTCTCAGTTTTATATTTTTTCAAATTTATATACACTTTATTGTTTTCTCGAAATGTTTTTTCCAAATATTTTGGGAAATATACCCTTTATTTTTCAACCAATAGTTTGAGCACCCTAGTGGAGACTGACCCATCAAAACCGGTGCTTAAGATGACAGAAGAACTGGGCGTCTGCTCCCCTGCGGTTTTTAATAGTATAAACGTATTGGAAAAGTCAAAAAGGTCGAAACGTGGAAGCCCCACGATTTGAACGGTTGACAGATATTGTCACGTTTCGAGGTCTGTCTTCTTTGCTATTGCGCAATCACTGATGAGTCACCCATGCACTTTCAAAAGGCGAAAACCCAGCAAAAAAATATCATGGATACTGGTCAGCAGCTAGTGTCATTCACTTGAACTTTATACAGTGCATTTCTTTAATATCCCCCCCCTTTCATTCTTTGAACGGGTCAACTCAAAAAATTGAAATTTGGGATTTTATAGAATTTAATGGAAAGGGGGGTCTTGTGACACATAGTTTTGAAGCTACTGACAAATACTTCACAACCCTAGAATATGAAGTCAATATCTTCACCTACTACAAAATGGCGGAACATTTAATAATTTACTGAAGACAAACACATTAATATCGATATTTCTAGAAATAATCCTCTTATCTGCCATATGGCAATTCCAACCACCCGATAAGGTTTGTTAAGTTATTTTTTGTTTATAAAAACGACAAAAAATGTCAATGAATATCATTGTTCAGTTAGAATATTCTCATTTAGTTTTCGGTTTTACTAGTAGAAAGGTACCACGTCAACAATCTCTAAAATGGTAAATTCTCGTCCATTGGAAGAAAAAATTGAAGCGATTTTTATTTACGGTGCGACGCGTAACTTTCACGAGACCGAAAGGAGTTTCAATGAACGTTTTCCGAATCATCCTATCTGTAGAAAATATTTGAGGGAACTTGTATCCAAATTCACAACTACCTATCGGTAGTACACTACCGTGTACATAACAAAAAGCCTCCAGGTCAACAGTCCATTCCGGAAGAATAGCAAGTGCAAATAATTGGTGAGATGGTAGTAAATCCTGAACAGTCTACTCATTCCGTCGCGAATGTTTGTGAGGTGTCTCCTTCTACTGTGTGTGGATTTTTGAAGAGGAATAGGTATCATCCATACAAAATTAAAATGGTACCCCAATCAACTGAGGATGACTTTGATCGAAGAACAGAATTCTGCGAAATCATGACTGAAATCATTGCAAAGCATCCTACCTATCTCCACAATATTTGTTTTAGTGACAAATGTACATTTTTTTTAAACGGCAATGTTCATAGACAAAATTGTCGTTATTGCGGAGTGACACCAACCCTTACGTTTTCCGGGAAACACATACCCAATATCCAGAAAAAAATTACATTTGGGCAGGAATATTGGGAAACCATATTGTAGGACCTCTATTTATTGTATTTGAATATGCTGGAAACTACTGTTGACCCTCTCATCTCTGAAATCGTAGAAGAGAATCCTAATGAATTCGATATGGATATTGTATTCCAATAAGTAGTCTGGTTCACATGTACTCGATTTAGCTCTTTTTGGTGACATTTTTCAGCCCTGTCCAAAAATTACGACCAACGTGTCATTCGATTCGTATTTTTGCCTAGAAAGTTTAAGGAAAGGTCCGAAAACGCTTCGATAAAAATTACAAAAGTTATAAACAATTAAGTGACAAAAAATTTTGGAAATTTGAAAATATCAATGAATTTGCGTAAAAAAAGTGCCGACTCCCGAAACTGTATCTCGATTATTTATAATTTTTACAGAGCCCTGAAAATAGAGCCGAAAGCGGATAGTCTGGCTTCCGCGCGCCTTTCGTCACTCTGACATAAAAACAAAAAAATATTTAAACATGTAAAATGTAAATATTAAGGAATGAAAAAATTCATGTAATGTTGGGATACATCAATAAACAATAATCCGCAGTNTTTTGTAACAAATCCTCTAGACCTGCACAGGGTTGCTACTAACTATATCTCGCCATTCTATGTAATACATGTTATAGAAGTTAAATTAGACGTTTGAATACTGTACTATATAAATATTATATATATACATCGTAATACCGCTGTGAGAATCACATCACAAGCTTGCTTAGGTGACTCACAGTGGTTTATTACCTCTTTCTTCTTTTTTCCCCTTTTTGTAAAATTTTCTCTGTAAATTACCTGAATAAATTACCTGAATTATTAAAAGTTCCGCCATTTTGTAGTAGTTGAAGATATTGACATTATATCCTAGGGTTGTGATGCATTTGTCAGCAGCTTCAAAAAAAAGTGTCACAAATGTGTTCCATTCAATTTCTTTTTCCAAATGGAGTTCAGTCGCCATCTTGAAAGTTTCATCTGTCAATTTCACTTCAAAATAAAGTATTCATGCATTGATTTCATTATCCCAAATTTCAATTTTCTGAGTTGACCCGTTCAAAAAATAAAAGGGGGGGCATTAAAGAGCAGCACTGTACAACCGTGCCAAACATCATAGCAGATTCCTATTGTGAGGAAATCGACGAAATGTATCGGAAATAGAGTCAGCAGCAGCTGGCTCTGGTTGACAGAAGAGGTCCGATGCTGCTTCATGACAACTCCCGTCTTCACGTTTCACAAATTACCATTCGAAAATTAAGTGAATTGAGTATCAAAGTTCTTCCCATCTATCATACTTCCCAGATCTCTCGCCAATTGACTACCATCTTCTGAAGCATTTCAGTAACTATCTCACCGGTGGAACCTTCGCCAATCAGGATCAGGCAAAAACTGTCTTCGTCGACTTCATCAAAGTTCGAGCACACAATTTTCATGCTGACGATTTAATTGAATAAGTTTTCACTGACATATTACAGTTTGAAGTCCACTCGATGAAAACGGCTGAAACAACCTATATTTTTCTGAAAATATAAAGGTTCATTGCCATAACTTTGAAGTATTTTCATGAATTCGTTCGAATAAATGACTATATTCGTGTACTATATTCTTTCGAAATCAAAATGGGTGGACAAGCATTTCATCATACATAATACAGCTGCCGAACTTAGTCATGTTCGGTGATAAACCTCTTCCTCAAGATGTGCGGTAGGTGTGTAGAAATCTGTTATCAGTCTGTTAGATTATTCGAGTCGTAAACATTCAAATTCAAGACCGTATTCAGTTAGTGATGGAGTTCAAAAGTGCATTGCATAAACATATTTTAAATAGTCAAACTCGTGATTTTTCTCACAGGCCATGACTCAGTCCGGTAACTGTACGTTCCAATCATTTTTTGGCAGTCCTAATAGATATAAAAAAACCTTTGTGATGCACTGTTTGGAATCTTTGGTGTAGTAATGAAAATTAGGTAAGGTTTGGTTAGGTACAAAGTTAGTGGGTCTATTTGACCCTTCACCGCAACCCGTAAGGGTTTATTGTGGCTCACACCTATTCACACTCGACCAAATAAACCCAGCATCTCAACGAAGCCGATTAGGTTGTATGGTGAGTGGTCTTTCAGGTCAGATTGTAAGAGTACGGCTCTGCCGAACTCTAAAAACCTGATTCGTTTCCCAGCGGGGCAGAAACAAAGTATGTGCTCTGCTGTTTCATCATTTTCCAAATAGAGGCGACACACACTGTCTTCTGACAGTCCGAGTCTCTGCATATGATGATTCAAATGACAGTGACCTGTAAGAAGGCCTGTTAGAAATCGTAGTTCATTCCTACTGTAACCCTTGGAGTGAGTCAATCCTGAAAGATTTTGCCAGAAGTCCATAAAGCTTCTTGCCATCCAGGTATTCAATCTTTGTTTGGAAAAGTCTAAAGCGATGCCAATGACAGGTTCAGGTCCGATGAAGCTGCTTGCAGCACCCTCCTTTGCAAGAGAGTCAGCAGCCTATTTGCCTTCCAGGCCAGTATGGCCAGGAATTCAGACCAGAGAAATTCTCTTAAGTCTTCCTATCGAGGATAGTCGTTTTTGGCAATTTGCTACCAATTTAGACGTTGCTCGGTAGAAGCCAAGAGCTTCCAACGCCGCTTGCCTGTCCGAGAATATTTATATTGACTTGTGTATGAGGTTGGATTCTTCCTATCTCTCCGCACACAATTCAGTAGCGTAAATTTCCGCTTGAAATACAGTCGCATAGGTTCCTAGGCAGGTTAATATATTTGTCCTGGGTTTGCGACTGAAAACACCTGCACCAGAACCGGAAGGTGTTTTTGATTCATCTGTGAACCAACAACTATCTGCTCCTAATATTTCCTTCCCCCGGAGGATTCAGTCCTGTCTATGAATATTACTGGAGTTCTATCCCAACAACAAACCGCCATTTTTAACACCTCGACACGTGTTTCAATCACCAAGCGATCATTTTCCATAGGAAGATTAATCTTCCTCTTGGTGTTGGGATACAACTCCAGTTTCCAGTAATATTCATGAAAAACCCTCCCAATATCATCAAATCTGAATGGATTAACTCAAGAAAAGGCAAATAAGTAGGGCCTCTTGCAATAGATATATAAGCAACTAGTATTATGTTGCTGTATCGCTGCTGTTCCAATGCTTTGACAGAATCAGAATCAACGAACTTAGGCGTGCGCAGCGTTATAGAACAGTGCTTTCAAAAAAGTGTTCCACAGCGCCATCTAGTGGCGAGTTATAGAAAAATTGATAGCCTAAAAACCTTCTCTATGAAAAATTACTTATACATGTCAAGTTTCATCACGAACGGTTGAGCGATGTAGAAGTTTATCACTTACCAACCAACCAACCAACAAACATCCATTTTTATATATTATATTCACTTATTTTTCATTTTGACTCACTGATAGAACGCATCTCAAGACTATGTATTTCCCAATGATTCCCATTACGACAATTTGATGGCTCGATAATTCAATCTGATTGTTGAAAGATACAAGAAAAGTCCATTGTGCGACGTACGCGGGAGATACTATCAACACAACCTTTTTTATTGCCTTCAAGATTTCCTCCAGAAGAAACGACGATAATGTGTAGTTTCGTGTGGTTTCGAACACTGTATCGACACTTCCAATCAACCAATTAACGGAAAGTTTACCAAAGACTCGAAACTCAATTAAATCGTTAATCAATTGATGAGTAGCCATTTCTATGTCGAACTGTTGTGCTTGATATTTTCAAACCAATCACCTTTTCTCTTATAAGGGCTTGGCAACTACTCGAAAGCTTCTCGAAAGAATATAATTCACAGTAATTCCTAGGTAAAATTCAGGCACCGCTTTCAGCGCCTCTCATTTAAAGTTCTGCTTGTGCAATTCCTTAAAAAATGAGGAATCAGTTACGATTTGAGAGTAGGTGAAACTGTAATAAAGCATTTTCCGACCTGACTATTAAAAGCGTATCGTAATCAACATTTCATCTACTTCCGATATGTGGTTGAAACTTTTTTGTTGAATATTTCTTTGACAATGTTACCATAATATGAATATCTTAGTAAGTATTATAACTAATTAATGAAATTTTACCGTTCAATTCATAAGGATCGAAATTATATAAAATTCGGAATGAGCAATCACATCTTTGCTCTTTGATGAGCAGATAGCTGTTTTCTTGATTACTCTCCAAAAAAACCGTTATGAAATTTGCAGTCGTTTGCAATAAAAAACTGGCACCTTCACCAATAAAGTGAGTTTGTTTAGAGGGACGGAATGTCATTAAAAGAGTCTCTATAAGTTACATTATATTGAAAACATTTTTCCAAAACTATATTTAAAATTCTGAAACACGTTTTGCTAACCAAGTTGGCATCATCAAGAGATGAGCTAACCTAAATCTTACAGCTATTTTAGAATTTTTTATACACCTTGCCATCATCGAATGAGTGTCTTCAAATGCGCTCCTGGTATTAGTTATTTCCTTATTATGTTGTTATTTTGCTTTTATATTCTAATTCCTAATTTATATGTTAATGACTACCTATTATAATATCTAATCTTCACCGGTGATTATTACTGTGATTATTACGTAAAAGAGAAAACAGTGCGCTCTTTAGAATAGGCATCTCAAAGCATGTTGTCATGTACTGGTCTCTCATTTAGTATGTGGTCGTGTTTTAAAGGCATGTTAAGTGACATTAGACTTTTTTGGTCTATGAAACCGAGAATGTGAAACATGTTCCTTGAAACGCGTTACAGTTCTTTGCTCAGCATGACCAACATACTTTTTGTCGCAATTCGCACATCATTTCGTGAATTCGAGACTTTTTTTTTCGGTCATCCTATCTTTTGGGTGGCCCAACACTTGTTAAAGTGTACGAGCAGTTGTGATAGTCGATTTTATGTATAATTTTTCGAAAAATCGAACCAGAGACTAAATGTTTGAATTGTAGCGATCGAAACAACATGCTAGTGATGTCAAAACCAATGTATTTTATTCAATAATTACTGAATAAGTTAGAGTATTTAGCTGTAACAACTGTATTTATTTCAATCGGAAAAACATTGATTGTGGTGTTAGAATAACCGTGACACAAAATATTACAATTATCAAATGACAGTTCAAGGTAATACAAAGCGATACAATTCCAGCTCTCTGCTGGATTCCATCCAGAAGAGAGCCATCCGCCTTATTGGAGACTCCATCATTACTTGCAACTTTGATAATCTGGAACATCGAAGAGAGGTTGGAGATTTGTCTCTCTTTCATAGATACTTTCACGGGAGGTGTTCAAGTGATGTGGCATATTTGATTCCCCCAAGAGCGGTACATATCAGAAATACGCAACGGACTGTGGCTGCTCATCGTTTTGAGGTTCAACTCAGTACACCTCGAACTGCACTGCCTAAGAACTCCTCCATTTGGAGAACCGCGTGTGTGTGGGATAAACTCCCTGGAGGATTTTCTTGTAGTGCTTGTGTTCTGTCTTTAAATAAAAGCAATGACAGATATTTTGAGTCATTGAAAGATCAATTATATACCTACAAGAAAGCAATAAATAAACAGTAAGAGCAATACGTAGAAAGAAGAGTAGAATAACAAACAAAGAAAAAACTGAAGCAATAGAAAGTGAAAAGAAGTTATTAATAGGATGAGTTGTGACAAGATCAAAAAATCAAAACAAATGGTAGGAGAACATGAATTGATGGATAAAGCAAAAACAAGACAGATTGCTGAAAATTATTTTCTCACCAGACGAAATTTTGAATAAAATAAACCCAGATTATCATTTCCATTTGAATATTTTGGCATGAGGAAGGTTTCTACAATTTCAATATCAAGTATCTTATTGAGGCTTGGTTGTTTCAATTGGATCTAAGACTTCGACCTACGATCTTGGGATTTCATAAAATTACTATACACTTATTTAGGAAATAAATTTGCACACCTTCCAAACGAATAAACTTGGTGCACTTGGCATATAATCCTCAATGATAAATTAATGAAATAATGACTAATTATAAGTATTTTTGACTACGTCACAAACTACGAAAGAGACTGAGAGGATACTCACCAAGTTTTTATTTCTTCTGGAGTATATTTCACTTTGGGAATTGGTTGACCGCTGAAAAATTTACTTGATTAGTGTAACGATAATAATGAATGAAAAACGTTTTACAAAATCAACACAGCTCAATGCCTAGTGCAATATCAGATGATGATGAAGACACACTAATGAAGATTTCAGGTTAATCGGCAATATAATCACATTCCGAGTTGAGAAAAAAGAATTCTGTGCTCCTGAAATATGTTTGTTAATGATTTTATAGAATTTATCTGTTTTCAACTTTTGGGTAGCACTGTATAGTCACTAGTTTATATTTAGATGTTATGGCAGTGATTGTTTTAATAAAGCCCTCTATAATCAGTATAATAAGAAGTGCTTATAGCTCCCAAGAAGATGCAATCTATGGAATTGATGAAAAAGTCATAACACGTATGTCAAAGATTAAGAATGGCGGTTGCATTGCAAAGCCAAGTTTCAACAATGACTGTAGAATGGAAAATCACTTTCTATAATTCTCTGCAGCTTCCACTACAAGTACCAACTGCACCCAACTACATATTGAGAAATGTCAAGAATTATAGAGTTCATCTTGAGTTCAGGTATGAGATAATATTCAAAAAAAATTGTATTCAACAATTAATAGAACATCAGAACACTCACTGTTTGTAATTCATAGCTATTTTATAGAACTGCTCCCTTCTTTTGCGGTAAACGGGGTCCTTAAATCCTGGATGGTCGGCGTCAAGTTCACTTCCGTACATTAAAATGTTCTGAGCTAAGTCTATGTCCGATATTTTCTTGGGGAACCAGGGCATCTCATCGAAATCTTGAAAGAAAAGAAGTTTCTTGATTTTATATTGTTCACTTGTCTCGTACCCTCAATCAAAATTATGAAAAGCAATTACAAAATCTATTTCTTTTAAAATACTCTCTTGGCTCTCTAGTCGTGGCTTTCTACTTTTCCATTAAACACAAAAAATGCCACAGCTATATCCCTGATAACATTTGTCTCAAGTCTATAGACAAGAAAGTTCAGTCCTGCCAATTTTTGTTGTGGCAATGGTGTATCTATCATAAATATATCCAAAAATACTGATATTATTCCTGATATTATTACATCAAATTCTGGACCCTAGTTATTTCAAATTACTAAAACATGCAAGAATGGTAACTCCTCGTTGTTTTCAATTCTATATATGTCAAATCAACATTCTAGGATATGTTATTAAGAGTTGAAACAGTCCTCTACCTCAGATTTCTTCGTGTGATACTTCGCGAGCACAAGAAAAACACACAGCGAGGAGAAACCAGCAAATCACGAAAAGCAAAGCATGTTTGGACTCATCAACATAACATCAAGTGATCCCAAGCTGAGATCATCCACAGGGAGGAACACTGGCTCAAGAGGTAGTTTAAAGAAGCTGCATGTATGTTGTCCAATGACGCATTCTGACAACCTAACGTAGAGATACGCAACATATGGAAACCTGTAACCAGGCTTAGATCGGTCAACTCCCGCTGAAAGATCCACTTCCGCTAAACCGGTGAAGCGGAGAGAGGGAAGAGGGGATAGATGAAAGCGCTCGAATGACATATGAATAGTCATCTCTAGGAGGAATAGTCCAGTCATCAACTGAAGACGATTGTGGATACCAACAATCGAAACGTCGAAATCTTTTGAAATTATTGGGATATGTTTTAATTTATTTTTTAATTTTGTGCTTTATTAATTTTATTAATGCTTTTTCACACTATTACAGTCAGTTTTATTGTATATTCATTTTAAGATTTATTGCTTGAAACAATTGATGATAATTCAGCTATTAATTCAAATTTTATTTGTTCTTTCGAATCATAGTAGAACCATATTAGACAATGGAAGTCCGAACTGATGAAATTCACCATGAAACATTATCAACCACTTTTAAACAATCGCGAATACATAATCTGCATATCGGATACAAGTCGGTAGAAAGTAAGCTAACTCCTTTTTTGCTTTCAATTCAAATCTGCTCATGAACAGATCAGCTATGAAGAGGGACAGTGGGTTTGCCATTGCCCTGACTTCATGCTGTCTGTAGAAACAGTTGTTGAACTGTAAGCAATTCTGTTCCATGCGGATTTTTGTTAGTTGTATGTAGTCTTCGATAAAGTGTCCACTGAGATCAGTAACCCCCAGAAGGTCCCTCAAATGTTCAATAGTAAGACTAGGAGGATGAAACATTAATGTTCATCAAGTGTATGACAATAGCTTTTTGAATTTTCATTTCACAGCTCTATTCCCTCTGAACAACTAGCCATATTTCCAAAAAAAAAATACAACTATGAATAAAAGTTCCAAAGCTCTTTCCAGAACCTAATTCATTTTGTGAAAATGGAGGGTTGACACCTATGCTTAGTGGTTTAGCTGTGCTTTTTGGTCAAAAGTTTTTCGTAAATCACTCGAGCGTCGCTCAGGAATTGTTGAATGATGTCAATGGTGATCCATATTTGCTTAAAAGGATCATAACTAGCGACGAATCATGGGTATATGGTTAGACATTGAAACCAAAGTCCAATCGTCCCAATGGAAGAGCCCAGGAGAGCCAAGACCAAAAAAGCACGCCAAACTCGATCAAATATCAATGATTTGCTCACTGTTTTCTTCGATTATCATGGAGTAGTGCATCATGATTTCTTGCCACATGGTCGTACGGTCAGCAAGTTGAAGTTATGCACAGCTTGCGAGAAGCAATACGAAAAAAACGTCTGAAATTGTGGAAAAACAATTCATGGCTTTTCCATCCCGATAATGTACCTGTTCACTCGTCATTGCTTGTTCGTAATTTGTTGGCCATAAACAACATCGTCATCATGCCTCAGCCACCGTATTCACCAGATTTGCCCCTTGCGACTTTTTCTCGTTCTCAAAATTGAAGAGATCCATGAAAGGACGGCCTTTTGCGACGATTGAGGAGACAGAAACCGAATCACTGAGAGAGCTCAAGGACATACTAAAAAATGAATATCACAAATCAAATCAAAATTTTCTATGAACAACGCAGAATGGAGTAAGCAGATTGATCATTGCCCAATTGTCTCAGAAGATGCAGAGGAAAATAAACAAATTCTGGAATTATCTTTCTTTCACAAATTCGAAAAAACCACCATGAGTATATCTGATTCAGTTTCAAGAAATTTAACTTCAAATTCCTCACTCCGTTGGTCCAATCATGGGAAGAATCATTGCATCCGTGATTACTGGAATGAAAACGTATCACCAACAGCTACTACACAATTGAATCACTGATACATTCCTCAGTCAAAACCCTTGGGCTTAATGGGTTGAAAAATAGTGGCAACACCTGTTTTATGAACAGTGTAATCCAATGTTTATCAAATACGAGATGTTTACAGGAATATTTGGAAAAGGATGAGTACATGAAAGATATCAATACTAATATTTCTAGTACGGAGGGTGCTTCAATCAAAGCTTTCGCAGAAGTTATCAAGGAATTGTGGTCAGAAGATTCATCTGATAGAGCAGTGAACACAGTCTCCTTAAAAAGTCAGATTCAGAGTTTTGCCCCTCGATTCATGGGTCATGCGCATCAAGACGCCCATGAGTTCCATGATGAGGATTACATGATGACGTTAATATAATTATTGAGAAACCTAAACCGACCTTAACGGAGATTAACGAAAAATTGAGCGACAGCGGAGAAGCGCAAGAGTCATGACTGATTTATTTGAATACATATAACTCAAAGATTATAGATAATTTCGTTGGTCAACGAAATTCACGGTGAAGTGTACACATTGTGGACACTCATCTGTAACATTCGATCCTTTCTGGGATTTGTCACGCCCCATACCACAAAGAACTGGCCAATTGAGTTTATCACAGTGCTTGAATTTCTTCACAAGAGAGGAAACTTTGGATGGACATGAAAAACTGACGTGTTCAAGTTGCAAGGAAAGAAGAAAATGCACAAAGTCTCTATCGATCCATACGTTTCCCCGTATTTTGGTGATTCATTTCAAAAGATTTTCTCAAACAGAAAGAATTAGAGGCAAGTTAAATGTTGCCATCGAATTTCCTCTAGATGGATTAGATATGAACAATTATGCAGCAAAAATGTGACTCCTTGTCGTTATAATATATATGCACTTTCGAATCATAGTGGGCCTACCTGCAGTGGACATTATATAGCATTCTTCAGACATCCTTATACTGGCACGTGGCACGAATACAATGATTCACACGTGTCACCAATTTCACCAAAATCGCTTGTGAGTGGAGATGCATACATCCTCTTTTATGAAAAGGAGGAAACGAGTTCGCACCTTTGAGCGTTTTGAAATGTTATTTTTGTAACTAGATGTTACTTATTAACTGAAAAAGAAAATATCATAATTGCTTCGAAGATTGGAAAAAAACGCTGGCGCTATTATATCTGAAGAGGACAAAATAGAAATTGATGAATAAATGAATATTTTTTGAAAAAAATTAAAATTAACCTTATGTTTTCAACAGACGAGTAAGTTGACTTGTGATTCTTGTTCAAAACTGTATATTGCCCAAACACGGAGAATATTTTCTCAAAAAATAAAAGAACATAGTTGTAGTTTCTTGAATGTGAAGAACAATTCCACATTTAAAAAAAATGTTTTGACTGATGGGCTTGACTTCGATCATTACACTTGGAAAAGGTAGGTTTGAAACTCAAACTTTTGGAATGTTTGGAAATCAATAGATTCATGAATTCTAGAAATTCACTTAATGAAATCATTAATAGAATTGACAACTTTCCCTTTGTTGTTTTAATTTCAATCAGTTTGTATCTGAACGCAGGTGAAATTATCAGTCATGAAGCACGTAGAAAGTCATATGATTCAAATTGTTAACGGTCAATTGGGGTGACATTGCCCAATTTAAAAATTCAAGTTGATAATTTTCACATGACCCATTTTTTGATATAGAATTTGTACCTTTAGAATGTGGTTTGTAGATGTAATTTATGTAGTTATTTTATTTTCATTCCCCCTCCTAAATAAAAAATAAAATATGGGTGGGCAAAGTCACCTCGTGAAGTGGGGCCACTTTGCCCAACAGATGTTTTCTTTGTATAACAAAGCTACAAAGTCACCTTCTCAGGGTGTTACAAGAGCCACAGTAAGGACAAAAAATGCTCAAAAAGTCGATAATAACTAGTACAGTTGCCAGGACTGTCGATATAAAAGTTTTTAAAATTTACTGGATAAAAACAGTCGTATTTTTTGGTGATTTCAATGCTTTCTCTAGCTGAAGGATGAGAAAGTAAAAAAACTAAAATCACAATGTAACACTTCAAATAAAAGGAGGTGGGCAAATTCTTCATTACATTTAATAATAATAATGCTGAGTGATGAAACTCACCTTGTTTTCGTAGAAGCTGTGTATATGTAATTATGAAGAGCTCAAATTTTCATGGATAACACACGTTACAAATAAAACAGTTAATTGGTGATAGCACCTATGTGGAACGACCTAATATCTATAGAATATCTCGTTGTCATTGAGGAGATATGTTTCATTGACTGCAGGTCCTCAAACGACCTTTCAGCTACTTACTATGGAGGCGCGAAACTGCTTTTTCAAAACTGGGCAAAGCTACTCCAGAAGACAAAGTCACCCCAATTGACATACAAAGTACTATAGTTTGTTCAGTATTGTCTGAGAGAAAAAGAAATTCAAGAATGCAAACGTGTCGCTACATCAATGAAAGCAACATAGTCGTCTCAAGCAAATAGCACTGCAATTCACCCACAAAATCATTGAGATATGTCTACCCTCTATATCTCTTGAGGACGCCGCTAACGAGCCATTAAAATGGGATTATGCTACAAAAAATTCGAAAACACCGACAAAGAATGCGAAAATACCGCCAAAAGAACTTAGTCTCTTTCATTTCTGAATGGACAATAATTTGGTAGAATTCAGGTAGGATTTCCTCCACACTGTTATTCTAATAACTTTCTATAGTTGATCAACACTAGTTTTTCATTTACATAACAGGTACATTGTCACTCAGGGAGAAAAGTAACGGCCCTGCCACTGCACCCCACTTCTAAAACTTCATTCAATTCAAGCCTCTCACTCAAGAATCATCCCATCTGAAAGCAGAAACATTAATCATCGCTTACCGAAACTAGCAGTGGCCGAGAGCGGGGTTGGGGGCGGAAACTCATTTTCCTCGGAGCCTCCGTACTTTCCAATCACCATAGTCAACACTTCTCTCTTCAGCAGACGCCCCACTTGCTCCAGTTTTCGGGTCTCGCACTCGATGTCCACCAGGAAGTCAACCTGGTTCTCGGCGGTCTGAGATTGTCTGGATTCGATGTGTTGAACGTTGATGCCGAGGTCTTGGAAGGCTTGCAGAGCCCGAACCAGTCCACCGACTTGATTTTTCAGAGTGAAGATAATGGAAAGCTTCTCTTTCTCTTCGGGTTGTTTTTCTTCGCTTTGAGATTGCTGGAAATAATTATTGAAAGTAGTACCACAATACCTCAAAATTTGAATGACGAATTCCGTTTTCTAAACGAAAATTTTGTTGTTCAAAAATTCCTTGAGAACAACCACGTTCTCATTCGTTGAATATGAGTAGGTTTTGATCATGATCTTGAGGTTTCAGACCATTTTTTAGCAGATCCCACTATTTTGGAAACTGACATCTTTGTACTTTTGGAGAGTACCAAATTCGAAAACATTTATCGAAAAACGATATTATTCAAAATAACCAATCTGGTTTTAGGACAGGGCATAGCTGTCCTTCGGCTCTTCTAAAAATTACTGATGATATAATTGATGCTACTGATTGAGGAAAAGTATCTGTTTTGATTACTAGATTACTCTGAGGCATTTGATACTCTCAATTACATAATATGACAAGCAATTTTAATTTCGTAGGGATCAGCAAAAAAACCACCAAACTTCTATCATGCTATTTGAGCGATAGAACTCAAACAGTACTATATGGTGGAAAAGTTTCTAAATTTTCAAAAATTGACAAAGGAGTACCACAAAGATGGTCGGTATTGGAGCCCCTATTCTTCAGTCTATAAACTTGCAATTTCCCGAAGTCCTTCCTATCATGCATGTAGCACTATTATGCTGATGATATACAATTATATTTGTCATTCAAATCTAAAGAATACTCTCAGGCTATTAGTGTTTTGAATTTTGATCTATATAATCTTGAGCAATTTTCTAATAATCGTTGTATGAGAAACATACCGCTGGAGTTGAAAGAACTCTCGTTATCGACTTTCCGGACGCGTATCATCAGATTTATCGATAAATAGTGAGTTCTATTTTTATTTTTTTTCACAATGTACTTTAAAATTAAGATTTTTGTCAATTTCAACACCCAAAAACTTAGTACTTTTTGACAATGGAAGCAGCTGATTATTCACATCAATATATAGTGGGTCAAGAATTTTTTGATAATTACAAAATCGAATAATTACTGTTTTATTTGGATTGAAAACAGCTAAATTGTCATATATGGATTGAATCGCGGTATTAGTGGATTTTCCACTTCGAAACCCATGCTGCGTATCCGAAGTAATGTCATTTCTGTCATTTCTGTCATGAATTCTAAATGCTATTTTATTTTTCAATATTCATCTAAACTCATCTATCTCCTCAATGTTTTATTTGTGAAATTGCAATGTTAGTATTTTTTATATTTTATGACATGAACTTCATTTTTTTACAAGACTTTGTAATCTTCCGACAATAAAGCATATATTGATTGACTGATTGATAATCAAGATGACATTATTATTGCATACTCCCCAAAATGGGGAGCCGTATCTCAGATGGGATTCGATTAATGCATGGTATATTATTTTAGCAGCAGTAGATGCTTATGAAATATCTATAAAACGTAGAATTGTCGAATTTCGCTTTTTCGAGCTCCATTTCGAATGATATAAAAAGGCAGAGGAACTTTGAATACTATTCCATATTTGTCATGAACCAATCTGATATAAATAAACTCAGTTGGACTGCAACAGTAGAACTGAGGAAAAATGCCCTAGGAAAACCTATAGTTGAAATTTCAAAGTTCATTATTTTATAAACTGAAAAACCTATTTTCAAAATCAAAACAGAGATGGATAGGTAGTCAAAAGTTTTTCTAATAAAGAATTTCTTGACCCCTCTCCATAATTGATAGCCCTGCTCATAGGGTTGAAGAAATCGGAATATTTTTTGAGTTGAAACTTGTCTTCTGCACAAATAAAGCAAGCAATAATCTATTGTTTGATTATATCCAGAAGATGAAAAAAGTTATTCCATTAAGCACTTTTTTGGTAATTTCACCATCATTCCTTTAGAACCTTTAGAAGATCGAAGAACAATTGAATAATTGCTTATTTGAGGGAGAAAAACATCGATTTGATAACTTATTTCCCGTATTCTTCTGATTTATCACCAGCAACGAGCTTTTTTCTGACTCAGATAGAGGTTTTCTTGCCAACGTTTCGAATTTGATTACATTCTTTTTCAGGGCAGGAATTCTACTGAATTCGAAACATCGGCAAGAAAACCATTTTTTTAAAGAAAAAAGTTAACCTGTTACTCAACCAAACTTTTCCAGAAAAATTATTGGATCACTAAACTAGTTAACTGTTTTCAACCTTGTATAAGAGTTTACTAGTTCTAAAGCGGAAACCGCTTAAAAATTTTATAGTGCCCTACTAAAAAACAGTATTGAGGTAGGGTAGAACACTGGATAACTCAATGGAGACGGGTGGAGGGGTCCGAGTTGCTTGAGTGCTTTAAATAATACCGCTCAGTTCGTTGAAAAGGTAGAATACGCCTGTATTGTCTGACAGTGAAAGTTACATACACTTTGAATATCAGAGCATGTATAGTCGAAGTGAACGATATTGTGCACTCTTGAAGTAAGCGGCACTCTCAAAGGCCAAAAAAACCAATACATAGAAATGAACCGGCAGCGAACTAGTCCACGTGTATTGAAGACGGTTCGTATTGGATAATGTTTACTAACCGAGTTTTATAATTTGCTGAAGAGTCATAAAATCGAATTTGGAGTCATGTTACGGTAACGAATAGAAATCGGGGCATGCGGGGATGGTTATCGCCGTCGTATTTAGTTCAGGAACTGATCGCGATTTGAGTGTTGAAATTCGATATTGGTGCAGTTGTAATTACTTGAAATTTTTGTTATCTGTTCAAAATGTGGCGTCCTTGGACAAGTACTAATAGTAATAACGAGTGTGATACCAAAGCAGACTTTTTCCAGTGTAGTGATTTCAATAGCGATGGCGAACAATGCGAATAAGATTCGGATGCATTTGAATATTGAAACACAGAGAGTATGTCTCGTTGTATATAATAATATACATCTCAAGTTTGGTTTCAAGGGAAACTATTACAAGAAACATCAGATTTGACCGAAATTCCTTTCTCAAGTGTACGTAAAATAGTCAAAAAAAAAACCTTATGAACCAAAACCTTTAGATGTTCAACTGAACTTAGAGCAAATAATTAAATATAGACAAGAACAATGGTAGACAATGGACGGAACTTGGTATGACACTCACGACACAGTTACGAAAGGATGGATTGATAGTTCGACAATGTGTGCACCTAACATGCCTGCAAACAAAGGATGGCGACTAATCATTGTGCATTGTGGAGGAAGTAAAGGATGGGTTCCCAATTCTTTGAAATTATGTGGAAAAAATTTAGGACTTCAATGTTGACTATCATAACATGGAAGCTAATCTTTTCGAAGAATGGTTTGAAAACACATTGATCTCAAATTTGGATGCGAATAGTGTAATAGTTCTTGACAACGCTTCCTATCATTCACGACAGCTCATCAAAATACCAAATGAACATTCGAGGAAAAATGAAATACAAAGTTTTTCAATAGATAACAATTTGTGTTTTGAAGATTATTATACCAAAAACCAACTACTCGAGGTTTTATAGACAAAATAATTTGAAATAGTGTTTGCCCTTGAGAGTATTGCTGAAAAGTATAAGACACCATAGTGAGACTTCCCCCCTATTTTTGTGTTTTAAATCCTATCCAGTTGATTTGGGGAAAATTGAAACAAAGCATTAGTATTTTCAATTATCAACCCGTTATTTGAATCCCTACTTTCGCACTCATCTATATAATTGAATAACGAAATCAGTTAGCTCTATTACTAAAGGGGAGCTGTTGGAAAGTAGGTTGCACCAGATCATTTACCTGAACTATACCTCGGATTGAAACAATTATAAGATATTTGTATGAACACAATTGTAAACTCTGCATAATAATGATATAGAGTGTTTTGAATACAAGGAAAGCATTTTAATTCAATTCAACGACTATGCACAGCAACTAGATATGGAATCAAGCCATGAGAAATCATATTGTAATACTCCGAAAGACTTTTTGTCCTTCCAAGTTGAACAAAAAATGTATGAACACCAATTTTCGTCTCCTCTAAAAACTTTTGAAGTCTTTTATAACAGCGTTTTTGAGATAACTCCGCGTTGGAGAAACTGATGAAAATTATGTTGAGGATTGGTTTGAACATATGTAATTTCATAGCAATTTCAAAAGAGGCTATTTTTAAAAACAATAAAGTAATTTGTCCTCTGAAATACATGTAAGGTGTCCCTCGTATGATTATTCCTGATAATGAGTAGAAGGCTGTGAAGTTTCTGCTCATGTTTTGTAAGTATGAAGATTAAAAAAATTGATGGCTGAAATCTCTTTTCGTTAAGCCGCTAATTAATCTTCTAATTAATTTATTGTCAGTTATCAGCACTCACCTGCGGCTTCAAACCGATTGGACTATCCTCTTTGTAGTTCCACTCTTCGCCACTCCGATACAACCAAAGCCCCAGAAGCGGTTTCCCGGAGCCGCTCATCTTCAACTTCTTGTTCCGGCACCAACAAGTGCCGATGCCTCCGGCCTGCTCGATTTATAAACTTCTAGAGGACTGCCGCGGTGCGCAGCACACTTTGATTGGCAGAATCACCGATTTATCGCGATTCTTCCAGATCGTGATCTGGGATTTTGAGACTTTATGAGACTAATTGGAGTGTCTTGAAAGACGCTGGCATTCACTTTGTCGTATGAAAAGGTTTATTCGTGTCACTGGAACGTTTTGTAGCTTGCAATATATATAATTTTTATTCGAATATAAAATCGAAGTGATTGTTTATGGTTGTCTATGATCTGGTGGTTTTTCATCAACTGTTCTTAAAATATATGCTCCTGAAATGATCATATTTTTGTAAATCATTTTCAACATTTTTAAAGGTTACGTGTATTTTTGTCAACACGAAAATAGGTGAAGTAGAACCAATTCATACAAAAAAAGTTTGTCAATAAATTAAAGAATAGCTACTACATCTACCAATTGAAAAAACTAATGAAAATAACAAAGTTCCATCTCAACTTAATATATAGATCAAATATTTGAAGAAGAGAATGAAAAATTCACATGATTTTTTCACATTTATAATGAAAAAATTTATTTTTTCTCAATATGCAAATATTTGTAGTACTGTATTCTACTATAAATATTTACTACAGCTCCTGAATTTCAGGAATTCAGGTCGCTAATCATCATACGAGTAATGTGGTTGAAAAAAAGTATCAGTAGATTCTTACATTCAACAGATTCAAAAACTGAAGACGGTTATTACGTGAAAAGTAATGATCCTACATTTCTCATCTGTCACTGAAATTTCCGACAAACGCTTTCACTAACCTGTTGAAACAAAGAAAAGCCGCTCTTTAATAACTTGTTTTAAATTGAGGCTGCCCGGAAAATTATTATCTTCTTGATAGAGATGAGAAATGTTGAGCGTTACAGGACTGTAATGAATCCCTTCTATCGATTATACCCAACAATAAATTCTTTATATGAGAACAAAGATGATAGAAATTTCCAATAATAATAATAACAACGATTCATTTTTCCAAGAAACATACAATGTTTATAGCAGGAAATAAAACAATTATTTAAAAAATAACTATACCATAACTAAGTACGATTGAAAGATTATTGATTCTGATAATGCAGTCAACAAAACTATATTCTTTCAATATTTTATTCGACCAAATTTACCACGAAGGGTGTTTGATTATATCCGACAGGTGTCAGTGCAGGAGTCTTCACAAAAGCAATTCCTGTATATGCTATTGACGATACAACTGCTGGAATCGATTTTCAATTATTGGAACGGGCACACTTGCAGACCAGTTTCGGGCTATTTGGCCCTCGTCAGTGCAAGGTAGTGTTCATCATCAACATGAAGTATCATTCCTCGAATAAGGCTGAAGCGAACGACACACAACATGTTTGTCATCACCCCATCTGCCCATAAACGAGGTACTAAGCAATTGATGAAACATGGTTCCATGATTCCACACGTGGACTGCACGTGGTGAACCGACTCCATAGCGTGCAAAGACGCAACAGTTGGTTGGCAAGGTTATGGTATCAGTATTTTGGGATGCGCATGGTATGATATTCATTGACTATCTTGACAAAGGAAAAACCATCAACAGTGACTATTAATTTTTTTTAAGTACAAAACACAAGCACTACAGGAAAATCCTCAAGGATCTATCAGAGCGGTGCCTGTGCGAAAGTAGTGATTCACATTGAATTTGCATCGCTGGAGGTTTAATCCATTTGGAAAAACGTTTTCAGGAAATTTATTCCACATGAACCCAGTTCTCTAGATGGAAGAGTTTCCAAACAGTTCGAGGTGTACTGAGAGCATCAAAAGAGCAAAGAGTTCTGTTGCTCCCAGATGATCATGCTTTGCATACAACTCTGAAGAACATTGAATTATGTAGAGAAAATGGCATAATTTTGTTTATATTTTCCCCATACTGTACGCACAAGATAAAGCCACTGTATTGTGATATTTTTGGACCTCTAAGAGAAGCAATTAATACAGTTTGTGACAATTGAACGCGAAGCAATGCCAAGAAGCCATAACCATCTATGAAATCCCATCTGTAGCAAAGTCTGCATTTAATGTAGCAATCACTGCAAGGAATGTCAGTGCTGGTTTTGCTGCAACGGGAACATGTCTCACAGACATATCTGGATCGTCCCAGCCCAGAACTAGAGCAATCCGTTTCAGAAGTTGTGGAAATTCCAACAGAAAGAACCATAACTCCATACAACTGAGTTGAACCTCAAAACGATGAGCAGTATTTCTGATATGTACCGCTCTTGGTGGAATCAAATGTGCCAAGTCACTTGAAAACCTCCCGTGAAAGTATCTATAGGAGAGAAACAAATCTTCAACCTTTCTTCGATGCTATCAAGGTTTCACGTGATGTTCGCGTCACCAATCAGACGGATGGCTCTTTTCTGGATGGAATCCAGCAACGTCAGGGTATGTTTGCGGGCAAAGCTCCATACATGAGAACAACCAAAGAACAACCAAAGAAGGTTTGATCTGAGCTTTATAAAGCATCAACAGTTGATGGGGTCTGTACAGTTTCCTGGTTCGGAATAGTGTTCCGAGCTTTTGAAAAGTAGCCTTTGCAATTCCAGCGACATGATTGTGCCAAGACATATTGGTGTCCATTTTAATCCTCAACAAACTTATCGAAGAAGAAAGCGAAATTGTCTGACCTGACGTTATTATATCCGGTTCTGAGACATTTAGCTTCTTGGAGAAAACCGATGCCTGGGCTTTTGTGGCATTGAATTGAACTTGGTTACTCTCACCCCAATTCGAAATTACTTCTAGATCCTCATCAAGATATATAACCTCCTTCTGCCGGGGAAGATGTGCCTCCTGGAATCCAAATGGAATAAAGAGACAGGTGTGCTGTCGTCTGCAAAGCAATATATTGGGTTCTTGGTTGGTAAGTCGTACAATAAAAAGAGGGTTTGAGACAACATGGATCCCTGGAAAACACTAGCGTTGATGGTGAAAGTATTCGAGAGATATTCATCGACGGCCACTGACAGGGAATGTTCTTTCAGGAAGCTGAAGAGCCACATACAGAAATGATCGAAGTTTGGCCAGCAAACCCTCATGCCACACACGGTCAAAGATGTTATTGAAACATTTGAAGGACAAAATCGTGGAAAAACGGCCCTATTTGAGAAAAAGCAAGTGATTTTTCATCAAGAAAATTCACCGTGTCACAAATCAATAAAAACGATGGCAAAATTGCTTCTGCATCCACCGTATTCTTTGGGTCTCGTTGAAAAGAAATTGAGCCCCGATTAAGAGGTAATTGGAACAGGGTCCCATATCATACCATAAAAATGGTATCGAAATTTCGTTCGTCCTCGATGGCAACTATATTGAATAATACAAAAATTTATGAAGAAAAATGTGTTTTCTATGCTCCCTTGCGAACTTACTAGTTCAACACTTTTCCTCGATGCTCAACTAAAGGTTTCTTTCAATTTCCAAGATGAACATCCTACCCCAAAGACTTAAAACTACTCTCTTGCTCTGAACTTTCAAATAGCCCAGGCCAAGTGCGCCTCTGTCGTGCGTGATTGAGAGTAGCAGATTCCTCCTTTTATCAACATCCAGAGTTAGCACAATCTGAAGTAAAGTAATTGAAACCCATATTAATTCCCGTTGAATAAACCATGGCTTTTCTATCTGCGCACGTTTCACTATCGTGGCCACTGGAGAGGCTTTTGTTCCTTCGCAAAAAGGAATTCATTTCTTTCCAGAGCTCACTCGAATAATTTACCACCTTATTTCCGAGTTGGCTATTTTTAGAACTTTCAGTGGAAAAATATATGACTCTCAAAGCGATCCGATGAAATCGAAGAGAAGTAGTGTTGTTTTGTTGAAATGCATGTTATATCTCACTTTGGAAATAGAAGTTTTGAAAAATAATTTATTTGAAATAGGGGAAGAGTTCTGTGTTCCCTTGGGTTATAGAATACAAAATATAATTGTACATATAAACATGACTTGAGCATAACTGTAATTTTTGTTGTTTTTCTCATGCCATCATTATCAAATAGAGCTCTTCGATACGGACTCAATTCATATTGAAGGTTGACCTGAAGTGATCCTGTGACCGCGCGCTCTCCGCCCTCTATCTCAAAAACGGTTCACCGTATGAAAAATTTTTTTAAACAAAATTTGTAGAGAATTTTGTATTCTACAATATTGATAATGAATACAAATGGCAAAAAACCCATAGGAAATGAGATATTTACAAAAAAAGCGCAAAAAACCGATTTTTGTGACCTTTTACCTTGAAATTTAATAATTGCGTATACCCTACAATATGTAGGTTTTCAGACAACTTTTAGGGTGTCAATATACAAGTATTTACAGTCTTACAGCTGGATATCTCGAATTCCGAGATTCTTACCTAATTTAAGCTTAAATGACTGGAGTAAAGATGTTATTGGAATATTTGAAGGACAAAATCGTGGAAAAACGGCCCTATTTGAGAAAAAAAAAGTACTTTTTCATCAAGACAATTCACCGTGTCACAAATCAATAAAAACGATGGCAAAATTGCTTCTGCATCCACCGTATTCTTCGGATCTGTCGTCAACAAGAGAATACTCGTTGGAAAGAAATTGAGCGCCGATTAAAAGGTAATCGGAACAGGGTCCCATTTTGAGGTTAAAGACAAATCGTACCATAAAAATGGTATCGAAATTTTATTCGTCCTCGATGGCAACTATATTGAATATTACAAAAATTCATGGAGAAAAATTGTAGTACCACAATACCTCAAAATTTGAATGACGAATTCCGTTTTCTAAACGAAAATTTTGTTGTTCAAAAATTCCTTGAGAACAACCACGTTCTCTTTCGTTGAATATGAGTAGGTTTTGATCATGACCTTGAGGTTTCAGACCATTTTTTAGTAGATCCCACTATTTTGGAAACGGTAAAACCTACAGGGTCAGT